AAGACCCAGAGGGATCGGGTGGAGAGGGAGGTGGGAGGGGGGACCGGGATGGGGAATACATGTAAATCCATGGCTAATTCATTTCAATGTATGACAAAAACCACTGCAATGATGTAAAGTAATTAGCCTCCAACAAATAAAAATAAATGGAAGAAAAGAAAAAAAAACTCAACACATTAAGAAAACTAATATCATGGCATCCAGTCCCATCACTTCATGGCAAATAGATGGGGAAAAAGTAGAAACAGTGACAGATTTCATTTTCTTGGGCTCCAAAATCACTGCAGAAAGTGACTGCAGCCATGAAATTAAAAGACGCTTGCTCCTTGGAAAAAAAAGCTATGACAAACCTAGACGGCATATTAAAAAGCAGAGGCATCACTTTGCTGACAGAGGTCTGTATAGTCAAAGCTACGGTTTTTCCAGTAGTCATGTATGGATGTGACAGTTGGACCATAAAGAAGTCTGTGCACTGAAGAATTGATGCTTTCAAATTTTGGTGCTGGAGAAGACTCCTGAGAGTTCCTTGGACAGAAAGGAGATCAAACCAGTCAATCCTAAATGCAATCAACCCTGATTATTCATTGGAAGGGCTGATGCTGAAGCTGAAGCTCCAATACTTTGGCCACCTGATGTGAAGAGCCGACTCACTGGAAAAGACTCTGATGTTGGGAAAGATTGAAGGCAAAAGAAGAGGGTGGCAGAGGATGAGATGGTTAGATACCATCACCGACTCATGAATTTGGGCAAACTCAGAGGCCCCTGGCATGCTGCAGTCCATGGGGCCGCAAAAAGTCGGACACGACCTAGCGACTGAACAACAACAGGCCCTGACTTAAGATCTTTATAACAGTGGATCTCATTTACCTCTCACAGAAACCCTATAAGACAACCTTACAGATAGGAAGAATAAGATAAGTAAAGTTACCTGACTTGCCAAATTTACATTGCTAATAAGCTGCAGAGATGGAATACAAATTCAGGCCTGTCTAATACCAGAGTCTATACTCTTCCCCATTAAACAAGTCAGTTCCTTCAAATTAGGCAGTTTCAAGACTTCTCACTCTCCTCAGTAGCTATAGTCATTTATCAATGTCCCTCTTAAAATATAAGCCAAGAATTCCAGATGTTGCTTGACCAGTGCAGAGTGAAAATTTTTCTCTTCCACATTCTAGACATTCTCCATTTATTAAAACAGTATAAGACTGAAATAGATTTCTTGAGTAGCTTCATTTCCCTTTTGAGTCTTATGAAGCCTGACTAAATTAAATTCCAAAGGCTTTCTCACATGGAGTAGAAAACATACTTGGAATATCCTTCTTCCTATTTTCTTTGTTAATTGTCAAGGCCCAGGCCAGACTTCCCTTTATCTGTCACTCTCTCCCTGAGCAGCCTTGCTCTTAGTAATCAATACCTTCAAGGAATTTGCCTTATCCTTTGGTATGCCAGTTGGCACTAGCTACCTTGCACTGTAACAATCCCAACATAAATATGTCTAACTTCCTTGAGCTCTTTATATATAAATACCACTCTTTAATATAGCAATAATTTTCTGGAGTGTGTTTTCTCCTTCTGCTGTAAATAATCAATAAAAAAGAGCTGAGAAGAATACAAGAAGGAGCCTTTTCACTCCCTGCTTTTCCTTTTTGTGTTAACAATCAAAAGCAGATAAATAAAACTGGCTAATTTCAAAGGAGTGTGTGAGAGACTACATGTGGTAAAGAAGAGAAAGGTTGGTCTGAATCAAGAGGGATGCAGTGGCCAAGGAAGAAGTGGCTCATCCCTGGAAATCTGGAAAGCTACAAAATAATTTTCTATCTTTGCTCAGTCACGTGTTCCCAGGATCTGCTCCCAGCAGGGGGCTCAGTCGGCCCAGGACTCCTTATATCCCATTTTATTCCTGGAACTCTACCACAGACCTCACCTGATTTCTACTCCTCCCCAGGCCCCTGATACTCTAGTGCCATTGACAATTTGTCAGTTCCTAAAACACACTGAAAGCATTCCCATTTCAGGGCTTTCATGCTTGCTATCCCCTTTGCTGGAGTGGTGTTCCCATGTTTATTTAAATGACAAGCTTCTTACTCTTTAAATCTCTAAATATCATGCTCACAGGAGCTACCTGCAATGTTCCTAGAAACACCTTCTCTATCCCACTGTTTTATTTCTTCACAGTATCTATCACCATCTAAAGGATTAATATAATCTTTTTATTTTTTGCTTTTATTGTGTTTACTATCTACCTCCTCCCACCAGAATATAAGCTTCTGAAAAGACTACAGTACTTTATGTTGTGTTCTCTATGGTCTTTCTAGTAACAAGTACAGTGTCTGTGAAACAGTAAATACTTAATATCTGTTAAACATATGTAAGAGAAATATATATTATAGAGAGGGTTAAAGCTGCACAAAAAGGATTAGGAGAAGGATTTCCAGAGAAGGTAATTCAAAACCTAAGCCTTGAATAAACAGTATAAGTATTCAGGCAGAAAAGTAAGCTTCAGTGAATAAAGTGTGAGGAAGCAACTGTGAAATTCTTTTTTCACTAAATGTAAAAAATATAATATATTCATGGAATTCCAAGTGGTTCAATATGACACCCTTGAGATTATGAAAGGTTCTGGAGCAAGAACAACATGTAACTCCTAAAGAACTCCTTTTTTCTCTAGTCTAAGTCTACTGAAACATTGATCAGAGTCTTAGAAATGAACGGGGTAAAAGGTATCTAACAAATCTATACTACCATTAATATACCTTATACATTTGGATTTAAATATGATTAGAAGATTGACTGACTAATAAAAATGTAATTCTAAAGAAGTTATATGACTAATGGCAGTGGTGGTTTAGTTGCTAAGTTGTGTTCAACTCTAGTACCATTGACTGTAGCCCACTCTTGCACCATGGACTGTAACCCACCAGGCTCCTCTGTCCGTGGGATTTTCCCAGCAAGAATACTGGAGTGAGTTGCCATGCCCTCCTCCAGGGGATCTTCCAGACCCAGGGATCAAACTTGAGCCTTCTGTGTGTCCTGTGCTGCAGGTGAATTCTTTATCTGTTGAGCCATCAGGGAAGCCCCTAACTTATTTTAACTAGCAACAAAACAATCATAACAATATAACAGACAGAAAAATGTAGTCAGTTGTGAAAATATATATAAATGAAGCAGACCAAAAAGGGAAAGAGAATTCAGAAGGATAAGCAGAAATCCACCAGAGAGAAATTCCATTTTATAGTTCAGTGTTAAGCTCAAATCTGACAGGTGAGCTCAACAACTTTTTCTTCTTATTTATTCCCGGAGCCCAGCAGAGTCAGGTAGCTAGGGAATTCTCTGAATTGACTGAACCATCCTTATCACAGCCTTTGGTAGCTGGTGCCTACATTAGCTGTGTTTTTTTTGTTAGTTTGTTTTTTGGCTGCGCTGGGTCTTCATTGCTGTGCCCAAGTTTTCTCTAGCTGTGGTACGTGAGCTTCTCACTGTGGTGGCTTCTCCTGTTAAAGAGAAGAGCTCGTGGGCTTCAGTAGTTTCGGTGAGCGGGCTTAGTACTTGTGGCACACAGGCCTAGTTGCCCCGCAATATGTGAAATCTTCCCAGACTAGAGATCAGACCCATGTCCCCTGCACTGGCATGCGAATTCTCAACCACTGGAAGACCAGGGAAATCCCTAAATTAGTTTTAATTTCCACTAAACTGGAGGGGAAAGGGCAGGATTTTAGACTCTATTTTCTTCTGTATAGAAAAACATTTTAAGTACAAATAGTTTCAACATTTTTCACTAAGTGTTTGCTCAAGGGCAATGCTATTTGTAGAGGCCCAGTTACTTGTTTTTACTTTCAGGGACCAGTATGGTTATCATATATCATGAGGAGGAATAGTGTGGTGTTCAAAGTATGTGAACTCTAGGACTAGACTGTCTGGGTCCAAACCCAAGTTGTGAGGCCTTCAGGCAAGTTACTTCTCTGCACCTCGGTTCACTAATCTACAAATAGCGGTAACAACAGTACCCATCTTATAGGGCTGTTGTGAGAAGTATAAGTAAAACAATAAAAACAATGCTTAGAATAAACACTGTAAGCACTGTACAACATTCACGCTCATTACTATTACCTTTTCAATTGTTTTCCTAATTGAATTTGATGATGGTATTTTGCTCATGAACAACCGAAATAGTTAAGATGTTTTATGAGTGTGCAAACACAGATTATTTTACTCAAATTCCAAACAAGGATTATTTACTAGTATGCTACTTACACTAACTGATTAATTGTCTTCTGCTGCTCCCTGGATCTCCTGTAACTCAGCAACTTACTTTGTGCTGGGGTGTCAACACCTATGTCTTCAGAGGGACGAACGATGGGAGGTAACTTCAAGTTCAGAGCCTCTTTTTCTGCTGCAATGGCAGCTTTGTTTGGATCTGACATCTCGGTCCCCTAAAGATTAAAATACTCTGTACTGTGAAGAGAAAAAGTCCATAAAGCCATTATTGTAAAAGCTAGTCTCAATCTATTTATTACATATCTTATATATCACTATCAAAAGTTCTAGGTCTCTTTATACCTTCCTCCCAAGAATGGTAGTTGAGATAAAAGGGTAGAGATTCCTGTTAGAATCCTACCGTTCCCTGCTGTAAAGAAATGAAGCTTTCACTTGCTGTGAGTGAGGGCTTCCTCATGGATGAAATTATGGAACTGGATTAGATGCTCTCTAAATACCCTTACAGTTCTGAAATTTTGAGTTCAAATTTTCCCTAAAATGCAAATCACAACAGCAAAATCCAGCAGTCTAGGTATAATCCCTTTCCCCCAAAAGCTGATACTTTACATCTTTAACATTTTTAAACATCAGTATTTTATCTTAGCTTTTCCTCCTTCCTAGAAGCAACACTATGATCAAGCAAAACATAGGCATACTAAATGCCTAAGAAATCGGAAATGTCATATAAGTGCTGAACAATGAACTGTGATAGCAACTGCATTTGCCGAGGATGCCCACAAAACTCGGGGAATCCTGCCTTGAAAAAGAGACGATTTGGGCGGATATCCAATTCAAAATCTCCTGCCCTGGGAGGAGGGTGAAGAAAAAAGTTGAGGACAAGAAAGTACCTGTCTGATTGCTTTCACTTCTTCCGGCTGTTCGGGTAAGAGGGAAACGTTCAGAGAATTTCTCCAATGATGAAAGGAAAAAAGAAAACGATGGGTGAAACGTCCGGAACCCCACAGGCTCCTGCCGAGCTGGGCGGTCGCCGCGTAGAAACAAAGTTGTCGCCATGGAAACCGCCGCGGTCGCAACTGGATAGAAGGGTAAATGTTGCCTGGAGAGGCAGTTGCTGAGCAGAGACAGATTAGGATTATCATGACAATAATTCATTACTCGAGTAAATGGAGGGTGGGTGAATGAGATTTTTTACTTAACTGCCTTCCCTTGGAAGGGGCGGTGGAATCGCTGGAAAACAGATTTATGTAAAACACTCACTGTCAAGGAGGATCAAGTCTTCAAGGGTCCCACAGCGACTTCCCTGTAAATATTATAACTAATCAAGAATTTATCTTGTTTCTCTATTTGCTATTTGTTTAGACCGCACTTTTCCTTCAGGAAATTCTTGGCAGAAAAAGTGTGTACATTCTTTGAATATGCGTGGAGAGAGAAACGTGAAACGTTGCTATTTGAGACTGCACAATGGATAATCTAGGTGATGATAGCCTACACAAATACCATGTGGATAAATAAAATCGGTAGATGAATAAAATCTAGTGGTGTATTGATGGCGTAGAAATATTTGAGCATCTTCTATGTGCCAGTGAGCATGTAAAGAGTTTTATTTTTTAAATGAGTACAGCCTATACTGGCACACACTAGTTCCTCTAAAAAGCATCATTTGAGTCAGTGAATGAACAAATTGAAATTCCTCAGACCTTGTAAAAGCAGCCTATCTTTTTGTAGAAAACAAAACACTTGGGTTTTTTGTCACAGTCTTTTTAAAAAATTTATAATGAAATATAATTGATTTACAATGTTGTGTTAGTCTGAAGTGTACAGCAAACTGATTCAGTTATATATCTGTATATATTCTTTTTTTAGATATTTTTCCATTATAGGTTATTAAAAGATAATGAGTACAGTTTCCTGTGCTATACATTAGGTCCTTGTTGGTTGTCTGTTTTATATATAGTAAATGTGTATATTTTAATCAAACTCCTAATTCATCTTCCCCCTTTACCTTTTGGTAAGCGTAAGTTTGTTTTCTGTATGTATGAGTCTATTTCTATTAAGTCTTCCATCTTTCAGATTCCACATACAAGCACTATCATGATTTTTTTTTTTTTAACAAAAACCTGGTTAATTTCATGTGGTTTTTTCAGTTGGGAAAGACTTTTTTTTTTTAATCAGTATTGGTTTTATAATTATTCTTATTTATTTTGCTGCTCAGGGTTTTAGTTGGGGCATGCAGGATTTTTAGTTGCAGCATGCGGGATCCAGTTCTCTGACCAGGGATCAAACCCACTTCCCCTGCATTGGGAGCACAGTCTTAGCCACTGGACCATCAGGGAAGTCACCTCTGTGATAGTTTTTTGACATGTCTTCTGGTTAGGGCAAACTACAAGGACTGAGAGGACGGTAGCTTTTTATATTCTGCACACACCTTCATCCAATTATTCAAACACTAATCTACTGCTGTGATGCAGAGATTTTCCAGATGTGATTCAAGTCCCTGACGTTACATGAGGGAGATTATGAGGGCCTCACTCAATCAGTGGAAGTTCTTTTAAAAACTTTTAGACATGCCCTGAGTTAGACTCCAAACAGCAGCTTGGTCTACAATCACTCTCCCCTCTCTGGCTCTCCTCTTCCTGACAGCCTATCCCTACAGATCTTGGACTTGCTTCACTAGCCCCCAAAGTTGCATAAGCCAGTTAGTTTCCTGTAATAAACCACATATATAAACATACAAATACTGGATATGTATAAGGCATATATATAATCTACTTGTTCTGCCTCCCTCATTAAATCTTGACTAATACAATGCATATTTTTTTCAAACAGCTTCTTATAGGTATAATTTAAATACTATAAAATTCACCATTTTAAATTATATAATTCAATGGATATTTTTAGTATATTTATAGTTGTGAAACCATTAACAGGATCCAGTTCTAGAACATTTCTATCACTGCAAAAAGTTCCCTTCAGCTCATATGCAGTCAATTCTCACTCCCACCTCCAGTCCTAGGCAACCACTGATTTGCTTTTAGTTTCTATAGGTTTACAATTTCTGAAAAATTTCATATATATGGAGTCTTATATTATGTGGTTTTTTGTGTCTGGCTTTCTTCACTTAATGATGTGCTTGAGGTTCATCCATATGTAGTGACATATGTGACAGAAATTCACTCCTTTTTATCGCTGAATAGTCTTCCACTACCTGGAGGAGGAAATGGCAACCCACTCCAGGATTCTTGACTGGGAAATCCCATGGACACAGGAGCCTGATGGGCTATAGTCCATGGAGTCAAAAAAGAGTCGGACACAACTTAGCAACTAGCCAAACAACAGTCTTCCATTAAATGAGGATATCACATTTGGTTTATTCATTCAGAAGCTGACGGACATTTGGATGGTTTCCTCTTTAGGGCTACTATGAATAATCCTCCCATGAACATTTGTGAACAAATCTTTCGATGAACATACACTTTGATTTCTCATTGGTAGGAATTCCTGGGATAAATAATAAGCCTATTTGATCTTTTAAGAAAATGTCAAACTGTTTTCCAAAGTGGCTGAAAGATTTTACTTAACAACAACAAAAAAAAACCCAATGATTCTAATTCCTCCACATTCCTTGTCAACATTTGATATTGTCTGTCTATTTTATTACAAATATTGGAATGGGCATACAGTGGTATCTCATCATGGCTTTAATTTACATTTCCCTAAACACAAATAATGTTGAATATCTTTTCATGTGCTTATTATCCATTAACATATTTTTTTATGAAATGTCTATTTAAATCTTTTATCCATGTTTAAGTTGGACTATTTAGCTTTTCATCATGAAGCTGTAAGAGTTCTTTATATTCTGGATACACATTATCAGATATTTTGCAAATATATTCTCTCGGTCTGTAGCTAGTCTTTTCATTTTCTTAATCATGTCTTTTGAAGAGTAAAATTTTTTCATTTGTAAAAAGTCAAACAAGATATTTTTTCTTCAACAGATTATGATTTTTAGGTTGTTATCTATGAAAGATAGGTAAGATCATGAGGATTTTCTGTGTTTTCTACTTTTTGGTTTTACATTTAGGTCTATGATACATTTAGAGTCAATTTCTGTATGTGGTAAGAGATGCAGATTCAAGGTTTTTTTTGCATATAGATATACAGTTGTTCCAGTACCCTTTGTTGAAAACGCTGTCCTTTTCTTACTGAATCGCCTTGACATCTTTATTGAAAAATCAACTTACCATAATGTAAAGGTTTATTTCTGGACAATCAATTCTGTTCCTTTGATCTATGTGTCTATCTTTATTTCAGTACTACAGTGTCTTGGAAAAATGGTTATACAATTGACTCTTAAACAAGACAGTTTTGAACTATCCAGTTAGATACAGATTTTTTTCACTAAATGTATGTTACAGTACTATGCACGATCTGAAGAACTGACTATATTTTATACATGGATTTTCATCTGTAACGGGGTATGGAATTAACGGTGCCCTTAATTCCACATGTTGTTCAGGGGTCAACTATAGTTTTAAATTTGAATAGTGTTAGTCTTCCAACTTTGTTCTTCTTTTATAAAAAGTAGTAATTTGGACTATTCTAGATACTTTGTATTTCCATATAAAATTTAAGATGAGCCTATCAATTTCTGCAAAAGGTACATCTGGAATTTTATTACATATTTTGCTTTGAAAGAAAGGAAAAAATATGTTCATTATCTAAACATATTTAATTTGCATCTTAAAATGCTTCCTTTAAAGGCTCTATTTCTGAGTCTAAGGCTTAGAAATATTATTTATAACCAGATAATTATATTTCACAAAACCTTAATTATTTAAAAGCACCAATGTAATGACACTAAAATGTGATTCTCCAATACTACACAAAAAATTTTTTTTCTATTTCTAAGAGAACCTATGAAACTTACTATGAGTCTAACTTATGAGACTTTCTTATGAGACTAACTTAAACTACGTATTCATTTCAAATTTTAAAATGGGTGTGCAGGAAAAAGAAAAGAGTCTACATGCTGAAGAGTTCTTTATGGAGCTAAACTGTGCTGTTTTACATAAGTTCTTTGATTTTTCCCTTCAAAATAAGTTTTTCTTTACTGTTACATTAAGATTAGTTATATTAGTGGCTTCCCTGGTGGCTCAGATAGGAAAGAATTTGCCTGCAACCTGGAAGACCCAGGTTTGATCCCTGGGTTGGGAAGATTCCCTGGGGAAGGGAATGACTACCCATCTTAATATTCTTGCCTGGAGAATTCCATGAACAGAGGAATCTGGTGGACTATAGTCTGTGGGGTCTCCAAGAGTCAGGGACAACTGAATGACTATCACTTTCACTATACTTATATTAATTGATATAGCTGCATCTCAATTTTAAAAATGAAAAAAAGATACAGCTGTATTATGTATTATACATACTATGCTGTATAGTATTATTAATATATAATATAATCATTGTAAGTTACAATAAATATTTTTTAAAAATAGCATTGTTGGTGGGAATATAAAGTGATGCAGCCACTCTGGAAAACAGTACAGAAATAAAAGTTACTCAAAAAATTAAAAGAACTACCGATTCAGCATTCCACTTCCAGTTATATATACCCACAAAGGAACCAAAATCAAGATCCTAAAAAGGTATCTGCATGTTTAGTGTCTAGTGCAGCATTATTTGGGCTTACCAGGTGGCACTAGTAGTAAAGAACCCACCTGTCAATGCAGGAGACATGAGAGACCCTAGGTCAATCCCTAGGTCAGGAAGATCCCCTGGAGGAGAGTGTGGCAACCAGCTCCAGTATTCTTGCCTGGGGAATTCCCATGGACAGAGGAGTCTGGCAAGCTACAGTCCATAGAGTCAAAAAGAGTTGGACATGACTTGAATCAACTTAGCATATATGCTCGCAGCATTATTTACGATAGCCAACACATGGAAACAACCTAAATGTTAAGTGTCCATCAATGGATGAGTGGGTAAAGGAAATGCCAGATATGTAGATATGATATTGATGTAGAGATATATTTAACAGATACATAATATTATTTTTCAACCATAAAAAAGGAAATCCTGCTACTGTGACAACAAAGGATAGACTTCGAGGGCATTATGTTGAGTGAAATAAGTCAAACAAAGACAAATACTATATGATTTCAATTATATGTGGACTCTAAAAAAATGTGATTCACAGATACAGAGAACAGATGGAGGGGGCTGGATGAAGAAAATGGGTGAAGGTGATCAAAAAGGTAAAAAGTTCCAGTTGTAAGATAAGCAAGTTCTGGGATGGAATGGACTGTACAGCATGGTGACTACAGTATATGTGAAAATTATAAAAGAAAAGACCTTAAAAGTTCTCATTACAAGAAAAAGTTGTAACTACTGAGGTAATGAATGTTAATTAAACTTACTGTGGTAATCATTTGGTAACATACACATATGTCAAATCATTATGTTGTACATCTTGGACTAATACCATCTTATATATCAATTATACCTCAAAACTCAAAAAAATTTTAAAAGAAACAAATAGAAATTGACCCGTTAGAAAGCAAATAGAAACTATTAAATTTTGAATATATAAGAAAATAGATTATCATGTAGTGATTATCACCAAGTACTACTCAAAATTTCTGAGTGCTATCACTCAAAACTACAGTTTTATGTTGACCTTAAGTTTGTAAAAAATAGAAATATATTAATGATTTATGCCAATTTATTAACTGAAGGTAATGACAAGAAACTGTCTTCACATGCTAATCTCTGCAGATATATTTATAAGTAACAAAAAAAGTTTCATCAACCATAGCTTTTGATTAGTAAAAGTTAGCTTGTTTTTCTTGGTATGAATTGAGAATGTATGAATAAAATGTTATTTTTTACACTTCTTTTGGTTATCAGGGAAAACAATATTGGTTCAGTCTTCCAATCTCAAATTTCAATTATGTAATTATAACTATGCTACCATTTAGCCTCATAAAAATTTAGCTTCAAACACACCACTTATTATTTTTAAGTCTTTTGAGTTCAAATTAAACTTTCTATGTGAATTTGAGACACTTACAGGAAACTTGCAGAAACTTTCTCTTGAAGGAAATAACAGCAGATAATGAAAAGCAGAGATACTGAACGATGGGTATACTACATTCCTTTTGTGTAAAAAAATTCGGGGAAAGGGTATAAATTCATAAATGTTTGCATATGTATAGGAGTCAGAGCGGGAATATGAAAAATGTTTTTTAACTCAAAAAACAAAAAAAAAAACCCTGAAAGTATGACACTTCAAAGTATCTGTCTCAAACTGGGATTAAGACTCTGCTACAGAGTTAAAATAGATCAGATTACTCTAAGGAAAGTCACATTTTCAAATAGGGTTTTTGTTTCGAGGTTATTTTTGTTGTTGTTGTTTTTGGCGCACCTCACAACTAGCAAGACCTTAGTTCCCTCATCAGGGGCTGAATTCAGGCCCTCAGCCGTTAAGGACTTCCCTGGTGGCTCAGGCGGTAAAGCGTCTGCTTACAATGCGGTTTCAATCCCTGGGTCGGGAAGATCTCCTGGAGAAGGAAATGGCAACCCACTCCAGTATTCTTGCATGGAAAATCCCATGGACAGAGGAGCCTGGTAGGCTACAGTCCATGGGGTCGCAAAAAGTCGGACATGACTGAGCGACTTCACTTTCACTTTCAGCAGTTAAAGCGTAGACTTCTAACCACTGGGCTATCAGGGATTCCCACATTTTCTAACAGGGCTCTTATCTTTCTTTAAATAGACTTGATATTCTTTAAATGTCTTTCTTTAAGGTTGACTGAGTTCTGCAAAGTTGCATGAACAAAAATGCCAGTTCAAAGTTTGTATTTGCTAATGTGGGTGCTACGAACTGGAGGACTGAGACTTTCTTCAAGTAGTCAGCTGATATAATGTAATGACTTTTATCCTTTCAGTGTAGCCCCACATTACATACCATCAGGTATCCAGGTATCCAGTCACCTTGGCAAATGCTTGCTGCCTTTGGAGAGGGGAGGACCAGAATATAAATTTCAAACTACTGCAAAATTCACACTTCTTTTAGAAAAAGGCTTCTTTTCCTCACTGTAAGCCAGGGGAAAAAGAGTATGGCTTATTATAAGACACTCAATAAACATTCTAGTTGTAGGAGACGGGAAAGTGGATGCAAACAAATCCTTTGCCGTGACGAGAGAATTCTCAATTTCTTCTCTGAATCATGAGGTCTTTTTTTCCCCTTCAGTTCATCACTTAATTATATTTAACACAAAATTTGTCCCTTGAAATACTTTTTTTCATGTGGTTTTCAAAGAAACTGCATATTTCTCATTTCCTTTTACTCACTGGCTATTCTGTCTCCTGTCATTCATTCAACAACGCCTCTTTGGCCTTGAGCACTAACTTAACCTCTTTGGACCTCATATCTGTATGTTTTCAGCACAGTCACTGCTCCCTAATCGGGAGCTATTATGTATCGTTCGTAGTTACTACCACAAAAGCTCTGCTTCGCGCGTCGGCGCTGGCTCGGTCAGAGGAGAACCCACCACACCTCAGAAGAGGGTGAGCAACGTTGGGAGTGCTGCTGAGAACTAAACAACACTTTCCACACCTGAACACACACTGGCAATCTGGGTAGAGTTCCCTACGCCCTAGCACAAGGCAGCACCAGAGAGCACCAGAAGTCAAGCGGTTAAAACCCAGGCACCACGCCTATCTCCTCCGAGGAAGCGAAACCCGTGACATCACCTCCACCACTTCCGGTTTGAGCGCGCCTTCTCTTCTGCCTGCCAACTGCACTTTCGTTAAAATCGTGGAGTCTAATATTTCCTTCTGGAACCTCTATATTTTCTTTTTTTTCCCATCCTTATGACTCTACTAAAAGATAAAATTAAGCCAGATGGATTCGAAAAAAGCGTGGCTGTGGAGAAAAGGAGTAGGTGAGCTGCCCTGGTGAAAGTGCGTGGCGGGAGCTCAGTGCGCCTTCTCTTCGCCGGCCGGAAGTTGAGGGACTGAATGGATCCCGGAACCGGCGGCTGCGGCTTCTCCGTCTCTACTTGACACTTGGCGGTTGCTTAGCCGCAGGTCTTGACAGCCGTTGGGCCGCCAGGTTCATGTGGAGGCTCCCAGGCGTCCGCGCCGCGCTTCGTGGGGTCCGCACGGCGGTGGAGCGGCGCAGTCGGACCGAGGCGGCGTCTGAGACCTCGGTGGGCGCGATGGAGCGCGCTGTGGTGCGCTGTGTGCCTTCCGAGCCTAAGCTAAGCCTGTCATTCGCGCTGGCCGACGGCAGCCACAAGAACATGCAGCGCGACCAGAGCGAGCCGCTGGGTCGGGCTCTCAGCCGGATCGCTACCAATGCCCTTAAAGGCCACGCTAAGGCAGCCGCCGCCAAGAAGATCAGGAAGAACCGGGCAAACGCAAGCAGTGGCGTGGCCTGTGCTGGGCCTGGGCCTGAGCCGGCTGCAGCCTGCGAGCCCGTGGTGAAGCTGTACTACCGGGAGGAGGCAGTAGCTGAAGACGTGCTCAATGTGGACGCCTGGCAGGACGGTGCGGTGCTGCAGATTGGTGATGTCAAGTACAAGGTGGAGCGCAACCCACCCACCTTCACCGAGCTACAGTTGCCGCGCTATATCATGGCCGGCTTCCCGGTATGCCCCAAGCTCGGCGTCGAATTTGGGGATCCCACCGGCTCCCTCTTTCGCTGGTACAAGGAAACCAAACCCAGAGCGGCGGAGCCTGAGGGCGGAGGCCCCTCGTCATCGTCTCCCTCTTCGCTCTCTCCTGGTTGGACCGAGACGGGTGTGGACGAGCGCGTCTACACCCCGTCTAATGCCGACATCGGGCTACGGCTCAAGCTTCATTGCACTCCGGGCAATGGGCAGCGCTTCGGGCCAAGCCGGGAGTTGGAAAGTGTGTGTCCAGTGGAGGCTGGGCCCGGCACCTGCACCTTTGACCACCGGCATCTCTACACAAAGAAGGTGACGGACGACGCTCTCATCCGCACAGTCTCCTACAACATTCTGGCTGACACATACGCCCAGACTGAGTTCTCGCGGACGGTCCTGTATCCATACTGTGCCCCTTACGCTCTGGAACTCGACTACCGCCAGAATCTTATCCAGAAGGAGCTCACGGGCTACAACGCCGACCTCATCTGTTTGCAGGAAGTTGACCGCTGCGTGTTTACAGACAGCTTGGTGCCGGCCCTCGAGGCCTTTGGGCTGGAGGGCGTGTTTCGAATCAAGCAGCACGAAGGCCTGGCTACTTTCTACCGAAAGTCCAAGTTCAGCCTCCTTAGCCAGCATGACATTGCTTTCCATGAAGCCCTGCAGTCCGACCCACTTCACAAAGAACTGCTGGAGAAACTAGCTTTGTATCCAGCAGCGCAAGAAAGGGTGCTCCAGAGGTCTTCTGTCGTTCAGGTAAAGTGACTCCGCCAGTCTCTGTACATACTGGTTCTGGAAGGGGTACCAGGGGTGGGGGTGCTTATAATAGAGATGAAACTAGACCAGACGGTACTGAAAAGTGTTTGCTCTTGAATCTTAAGCACGTCATTTAGCCTTCATTCATTCATTGAGCAAATACTGAGTACTTGAAATGCGCCCTGCACACTTCACGTTACCTGGAAAAAAGACGTGCTTACGATTTCGTGTATCTAGCTAAATAAGATAATTTGGTAGCTAATATTTTCTTATTGGAGAAGGCAATGGCAACCCACTCCAGTGTTCTTGCCTGGAGAATCCCAGAGACGGAGGAGCCTGGTAGGCTGCCGTCTATGGGGTCGCAGAGTTGGACACGACTGAAGCGACTTAGCAGCAGCAGCATTTTCTTATTACTACCAAACACTGTGGTGACACATTTTGAAGAACTTTAAGTCTCCAGTATCTTTTACGAAGAGCTCCATAGATATTAGCTTTTAATTTTGGCTCATAGTAATCCTGCTGTTCCCGTTTTATAGATGTTACTCTACAACTCTGTCCATTTTTTAGGTAACTGGTTTTGTTCATATTAAGAAGAGTAGCTTCCATTTTTTGAGCACCTGCTGTGTACCATGCACCTCTGAGTAAGCTCATTTAACTGAATTCACACAATGAAATGTTCTCTTTGAAGTGGATGATATTGGCTTCTTTTTCACTCATGATGAAGCTGGTTTAGGAAAAAGAAATGTCACTTTCCAGGTCACACTGCTATAAATGGTACAGTGGGTATTCAAAGCTACTTCTGCCTGACTCCTATGCCTACACTTACCACTTAAAAACACCGTTTCCAACCTTAGTGTTACCATCTGAACTGTATTCATGCTACCTCTATATGTTGGGTTGTTATTAAAATATTATGATATATAAAATCAATATATAAAATATGAATCCCATTCATGTATATTCCAAAATTTTAGACTTAAGTTTCATAATTTCGATCATACTTCATCAGCAGGGAAGGATTTGGAATAAAATGTCAGTTCATCATATAGTCTTAGATTTAAGAAAAAAAAATTTCAAAACAGGAAATAGAAACTGAAGTCAGCATTTTCTGTTTATCTTAGGTTTCTGTTCTTCAGTCTACAACAGACTCTTCTAGAAAGATATGTGTTGCTAATACCCATCTTTACTGGCACCCCAAAGGTAGGTTTTGTTGATTTTCACAAGTGGCTTGAACATGGTAACTTAAAGTCGGTAAAAGCTGTTTTACACAAATACATCTTTTTTTTTCTTTGTTTTGTCAAAATATAGTTTATACACAGTGCTGTACAATTTAAGGTATATGGCATAATGACTTATGTGTATTGCAAAATGATTATCACATTAAGTTAACATCCATAATCTCATATAAACACCCCAGAAAAGTTGTTTTTCCTTGTGGTGAGAACTTCCGGGATTTACTCCCTTAGTAGTTTTCAAACATACCATACAGCGGTATTGACTATAGCCATCATGTTGTGTATTAATTACCCAATATCATTAATCTTGAAACTTGAAATTTTACATTTAACCACCTTCCTCCAGTTCCTCCCCACACATACAAATAAATATCCTGAATGTTACCCAGATATTTGTGGGTTTTTAATTTTTTTTTAAGGCAGGTTAACATTAATGTTTTTTATATTCCTAGGTGGGTACATTCGTCTCATTCAAATGGCAGTAGCCCTGGCTCACATTAGACATGTCTCTTGTGATCTGTATCCCGGCATACCAGTCATATTTTGTGGGGACTTTAATAGCACCCCATCAACAGGAATGTATCACTTTGTCATCAGTGGCAGCATCGCAGAGGATCATGAAGACTGGACTTCCCATGGGGAAGAGGAACGATGCAACATGTCTCTTAGCCATTTCTTCAGACTGAAAAGTGCTTGTGGTGAACCTGCTTACACAAATTATGTCGGTGGCTTTCATGGATGTCTGGATTATATTTTCATTGACTTAAATGCTTTAGAGGTTGAACAGGTGATTCCATTACCTAGTCATGAAGAAGTTACCACCCACCAAGCCTTACCTAGTGTTTCCCATCCCTCTGATCACATAGCACTTGTATGTGATTTAAAATGGAAATAGATTTGTGTCTAATAGAATTTAAATCTGCTCTAGTAGGAGATTTAATTTGAATCAGAGTTTATGTATAACTTTCAAAGAGGAAAATTAGACACTAAGGTAAAATATTCTTATCCTATTAGTTATGTTCTAGTGTCTTCATTACATGACTATCATAATGTTTCCATAATAGTTTCTCTACCCTTTTTTCCTATCCTTGGAGGAAAAACAAAAATATTTATGGCTGGCAGGAAGAACACTGTGTACATTTTATAAGTACTTTTTTTTTGCTAATTAAGAATTTTGTAAAGGAAAAAAAAAATACCTGAATGATCTTGTAATTTTTCTATCATAACACACTTCAGATTAAATGATGTATATATAATTAGGGGGAGAGCACATACAAGTTGAAATGAGAGGATTAAGTTCTCTCATTCTCACAAGGAAAGAATAACATTAGGGCCTATCTCTACCTCAGTTTGGATGGCAATTTCATACAACTTCAGAGCTTTAACAAAAAAGTACACCATAACCAATTCCTATTGTTTTTCATCTTTTGTTTTTCGATTGACATAAGGTATTTTCACTGTCTTATTTTTAGGATTTAATTTTTAGTGTATGGCATAAATGGACATACTTATGGTCCCATCCTTACTGCAGCTTATCTTAACTTTTAGGATGCAAGCACAATTTAGTATTCAAAGTGAACAGTAACATTGTCAACTTGATCCTATTGTCTATAACACTCTTACCTATGGAAAATGTTCATAAATCAACAGGGTATTTGACCCTATCATATTAGGTATTAGGAGAATAGCACAATGCATTACTTTTGAAAAACTGCCTACTGATATGGGCTTGAAATAGTGGATGAACCACAGAGTATTTCTGTGCTGCAAGTATTTTTGAAATTGTTGGTTTTTCTAAATAGGAGAAAGGGAGAGTAGTAATGGGGGTTTTGAGCATCTCTGGAATAAACTTATAGACTTGAACATTATATTATAGCTTGAGTTACAGGAAAACATTGTATATGTAATTTATATACTGTAAAATTTTTAAAAAATATGAAGCCAAATTCTTGAAAATTACAAATTATAGTTTTACTGATTAGAGTCTAGCTGATTAGTAACTAAGTTTTTCTAACTCAGTTATCACCATACTTTATTTGTAATGCTTTAGCTGCAGCCTCATGTTCAGGAAAACCATAATGTCATCTTGTATTTCTGCATTTAACTTAGACAGCTAGAGCTCACTTCAACCAGAGCTCTGATTTTCCAGTCATGAAGCCCTTTGTTCCACCTTCTTTAATCTCTAAGCCTGGAAGAACTTTCCTCTTTTGATGAAGTAGCCTGCATTTTCATATTCTGCTCACTATCCAGTATATTGTTTACGCTTAGTAATTTTGAAAATGAGAGGGTTTTACCTGCACTTCAGATTGAACCTTGAAGTGCTTAAAAGTACTTGAAGCAAAAAATTTAAGGTGGCAGTTTTTGGGGATCTTGTTTAGAAAAAGCTATAAATGAGAAATTGAAGCTACCAAATTGTGCCTTCCTAAATAGCATTTTAAAAGCATTTTAACATCAGTTTACAGATACACAATATATTGAAGCCAGAATCTGAGTTTTTTGCAATTTTTTTTTCCGTTTAAAATTTGGTTTTGATTTCGTTTCAAACAGACATTGATAGGACTTTGACAGTAAGCTGAGAAAACAAAAAAGCTGAGAAACATAAAGTGTAATATGACGTCCTCATGCCCATGAGAAAAACATACAAGTCCTGTATTATTAATAACACTACAGCAAGCTATATCGAACTTTGGTCACAAAAATTCTACATAGTTATTAAACATCCACATCCTGATTCTTCAAATTTGGTATTTGCTGACTAGACAATGATCATGCAGGCATTTCAGAATATTAGAATATAGAGTATTATTTTGAAGTGCCATATACTCTGGTCAAATCTCTAGTACACAGCTACGTTCATACAGTTAGTCCAAAGTTATGCTGTCACGGTGGTGTTCCACTCTGACCCCCATGGACAAGCTCCTCTGTCCATGGAATTTTCCAGGCACTACTACTGGATTGGATTGCCATTTCCTTTTCCACCGTATCTTCCTGGCCCAGGGATCAAACCTGCATCCCCTTCATTGGCAGGTGGATTCTTTACCACTGTGCCGCCTGGGAAGCCCAAAGTTAGGGAATGCTAAGAAAACTGTATAAGTAGCATACCAAAACGTCCTTGTATATGAGTTAGAATAAAGTGTTATTTCATAAATTTTTTAAGTGTTTAAAGCCATCTCTGTGATTGAATTTTTCTATTACATTTGGGTTTTTTAGTACATGTAATTAAATATGGAAAGTTGAACAATTCTGGTGAATCAGATTGTACTATGTAACCAGCAAGGTACAATGTACTAGCAAGAACTTGTTTTTGCTATAGGAATTAATGTTTTGAAACTTTATATTATTGATTACAAACTATAATACTTAAGAACACTATAGAATACATTATTCCTGTTAAATGAATTCGTAAACAGTTGCCACTCAGACATACAAACTGGTAGTTTATAATTCGTTAGCAAACAAACCATTTCTGACTATAATGTGATGTTCTTTAAATTCTAGAAACTAAAATCAGTTGTTAAAAATTTTCAAGAGTTTTACTCATTGGTGACTTTTTTGAGTCATCAAAATGTGGTTTCAGCTCAAGGTGGATCTCTGGAATGGAACTCAATTTAGAGAAGTCCAAAGAATGCTACTGTGGGGAAATCTCCTTGGGGGAAACTGATAGCTTTAGATCTCGTATTTTCCAGCTATGAAATGCAGGCAGAAATTTCTTACAAACTAGTCTGAGACAAAACCAAAACCCATATATAGTGAAAAACAGAAGTTTGCACTATTAGTTGATTGTTAAGACCCACATGACAACTGAATAGGGAAAATCTTTTCTCTAAAAAAGAACCAACTCGTTTTCCAAACGTAATACAAAATTTAAATCCCCACCTTTAAGTGTGGGAATTTGCTGGTGGTCCAGTGGTTAGGACTGTGGGTTTTCACTGCTGAGGGCCTGGGTTCTAACCCTGGTCAGGGAACTAAAATCTCACAAGCCAGGCAATAAAAAGAAAAATGGAAAGTTTCGAAAATTTTAACGTTTTGCTCAATATAATACTATGGAAATGCAATTTAGATTTCATTTTGGAAAGGGAAACAATATTAAGAGGTTTAACTGATTTTGGTAATATTCAAATTCTGTTGTCCCACTTTATGAGAAAGTACATGCTTTAACATTGAAGGTTTAAGAGCTATTATTAACTTGGGTGATTTTTTTAGACACTAACTTCAAAATAACAGTACTACATTCTGAGATGATAATACCAGAACATTTTTTAAACTGAGGTGAAATTCATGTAAGACTAACAATTTTAAAGTATATAATTCCATTGTATGAGTACATTCACGATGTTGTGTGGCTACCATCTGTTAACTACTTTCAAAACATTTTCATCACCCCAGCAAGAAATTCCATACCCATTAATTTACTCTTACCCTCTAACCCCTGGCACATATTAATCTGCTTCCTGCCTCACTGGACTTCCCTATTCTGGATATTTCATATAAATGGAATCATATGCTACATGACTTCTTGTCTGGCTTCTTTCAGTTAGCCTGTGTTCATCCATGTTGTATGCATCAGCATTTCATTCCTTTGTATGGTGGAATAATATTTCATTGTATGGATACACCATATTTTGTCTGTACAAATAGACATTTTGGTTGTTTCTACATTTTGGCTATTGTGAATAAGGCTTATAAACATTTGTGTACAAGTTTTGTTTCAACAGCTATTTCAGTTCTTTTGGTTATATTCCTACAAGTAGATTGCTGGTTCAATGGCGGTTCTACTTAGAAACTTTCTGAGAAAATGCCAAAATGACTTCCAGAGCAGCTGCAACGTTTTTTACATTCCCACCAGCAAGCAATACACAAGTTTCAGTTTCTCCACATTCTCATCAACCTATTTCACTTTTTAGTCATGCAAGTGGATATGAATTGGTATCTCTACCATTTTTAACTTGTTTAGTCTAATGATGTTGCTTCAGTCATAAACTAATCACAAGTGTATTACCCAATCTGTAATTTTTTCCCAGAGGACTCATCTTGAACTTTTTCTTAAAACTTTGTCAAGCAAGCAAGATCAATCTCATTCTTTCTTTTGAAGAAATTTGGAAAAACATTAAAAAAAAAAAAAGTCTGGAGTGTGTATATAAATTAGAAAAAAGAAGCATAAGATGACCAAAAAAAAAAAAGTCGCTTGAAAAATGTGAGTCTACTTCAGTAAGTTCAGAGAATGAACTTGCTTTCTCATGTTCTTTTAAACGGTTTAGCCATGCTCCACTCTTACCTACTTCTTTTTAAACCCCAGTTTTGGTTCACAGTAGTAGATAGTAATAATGTCTAAATATCAATTCCTGAGAAACTAAGATGGCCATTGCTGAATGTAATTTACCAAGTTTATAATACATAATCATTAAAAAAAAAAAAGGCCTAAACTCTGTTTATTAAAAAAAAATCTCAAGTTTTGAAAAGAAAACCTTAAATTCAAGGTAAGCTTTAAACACACATTAGAAATAAAACACTGAACTAATATGACACTGAAAATTATATGCAAAAAACTGTTTTGCAAGTTTGCCATCTTCAGTGTATTGAATCATTGAAGCCGGATGATAAAATAGTATTTTACATATAAATAATAACTTTTAAAATGTAGGCCTTAAAAATACTAAATCAGCTTATTGGCTGATGCCACCCTCAAAATAACAACTGCCAGCTGAATTCATTCTATGATAAGACTCAAGGTCATTCAAAATTGATGTTAACATTGTGTTAAGCTTTTACTCACAATTTTCAGTTTGCTTAAGAAACTTCACTAGAAAACAAGCTGAATCACTAATCTCCATCTTCTGCCCATTTTGTGTTGATTGTAGGTCACAGGTTTCATATAATGTAATCCATTCTTTGCCCAGTAACTCACTTTAATGATGTTACACTAGTGTATCTCCCTAAGGTACTTATTTCTAGTTGGCATTTTTGCTGGTTTCACTTCATTTGTATTCTTTTATAACAGAACATGGTTCAACAGGGAATTAGATAGGCTTTATTTAGTTGGCTTTCTTGTACTGAATGAACAATATACATACTTCTAAAATAATATGTTGCATTTAAACTTTATTTTTCCTATAATTTGAAGAAATAGTGCATCTATCCAGGAATAAAATCATTTAGAAATAACCCCACTTTTTGGAAGAAAACCAGCTTTAAGTGTAATGTTTTAAATAATTAAGGCAAAGAATATTTATGCTAAAGCTGTAGAATTTTTAAGTACTGTAAATAATGTAATTATGTTACCCCTTTTCATATCCTTTCATTACATACCTAAAGAAATCTGGCTTTTTGCATCCTGGCTTGGGTCCCTTTTTTTCATCCTAAACTAAAGAATCCCACAATGCTTTGCTCTTCCAATACAAAACTGATCTTTTTCTCTTGAAGAATTTTTTGTCACTGCATGTCAAGTCAGTTGACAAGGACTGGCTACAAAAAGAAACCCCATGCTCATCAGCAGACACTCCCCAACCCCCATCCCTGGTCCTGGCAAGCACTTAGCTTTCTGTCTCTTCAGATTTGCCTATTCTATACATTCCACATAGATGAAATAATAGGTGTCTTTTTTAACTGGCTTCACTTATTTTTAAGGTTCTTTCAAATTGTAATATTTATCAGTACTTCACTTTTTATGAGGAATAATATTCTTTGAATGGACATAACATTTTATCTATTCATCAGCTGATGGATACTTGGATTGCTTCTAAATCTTGGCTTCTATGAGTAATACTGTACATTTGTATTCAAGTTTCTGAATGGACATGTTTTCATTTCTCTTGGACATATATCTAGGAGTGGATCTGCTGGATCATATTGTTTTAACATCCTGAAGAACTGTCAGACTGCTATCCAAAGCAGTTGCAGCATTTTGTATTTTCACTAGAAATGCAAGAGGGTTTCAATTTTTCCACATCACTGGTATTTTACTGTCTTTTAATTACAGCTATCCTAGTGAGTGGCATGTTATTGTGATTTTGATTTGCGTTGCACCAATGGCTAATAATGTTGAACATGATTTTATGTGTTTACTGGCCATTTTTTTGTCTTTGGAGCCCATTTTCAAGAATTGATTTTCTACTGTTGATCATCCTTCTTTAAAAAAAAAAAAAAATGTTAACATTGTGTTAAGCTTTTACTCACAATTTTCAGTTTGCTTAAGAAACTTCACTAGAAAACAAGCTGAATCACTAATCTCCATCTTCTGCCCATTTTGTGTTGATTGTAGGTCACAGGTTTCATATAATGTAATCCATTCTTTGCCCAGTAACTCACTTTAATGATGTTACACTAGTGTATCTCCCTAAGGTACTTATTTCTAGTTGGCATTTTTGCTGGTTTCACTTCATTTGTATTCTTTTATAACAGAACATGGTTCAACAGGGAATTGGATAGGCTTTATTTAGTTGGCTTTCTTGTACTGAATGAACAATATACATACTTCTAAAATAATATGTTGCATTTAAACTTTATTTTTCCTATAATTTGAAGAAATAGTGCATCTATCCAGGAATAAAATCATTTAGAAATAACCCCACTTTTTGGAAGAAAACCAGCTTTAAGTGTAATGTTTTAAATAATTAAGGCAAAGAATATTTATGCTAAAGCTGTAGAATTTTTAAGTACTGTAAATAATGTAATTATGTTACCCCTTTTCATATCCTTTCATTACATACCTAAAGAAATCTGGCTTTTTGCATCCTGGCTTGGGTCCCTTTTTTTCATCCTAAACTAAAGAATCCCACAATGCTTTGCTCTTCCAATACAAAACTGATCTTTTTCTCTTGAAGAATTTTTTGTCACTGCATGTCAAGTCAGTTGACAAGGACTGGCTACAAAAAGAAACCCCATGCTCATCAGCAGACACTCCCCAACCCCCATCCCTGGTCCTGGCAAGCACTTAGCTTTCTGTCTCTTCAGATTTGCCTATTCTATACATTCCACATAGATGAAATAATAGGTGTCTTTTTTAACTGGCTTCACTTATTTTTAAGGTTCTTTCAAATTGTAATATTTATCAGTACTTCACTTTTTATGAGGAATAATATTCTTTGAATGGACATAACATTTTATCTATTCATCAGCTGATGGATACTTGGATTGCTTCTAAATCTTGGCTTCTATGAGTAATACTGTACATTTGTATTCAAGTTTCTGAATGGACATGTTTTCATTTCTCTTGGACATATATCTAGGAGTGGATCTGCTGGATCATATTGTTTTAACATCCTGAAGAACTGTCAGACTGCTATCCAAAGCAGTTGCAGCATTTTGTATTTTCACTAGAAATGCAAGAGGGTTTCAATTTTTCCACATCACTGGTATTTTACTGTCTTTTAATTACAGCTATCCTAGTGAGTGGCATGTTATTGTGATTTTGATTTGCGTTGCACCAATGGCTAATAATGTTGAACATGATTTTATGTGTTTACTGGCCATTTTTTTGTCTTTGGAGCCCATTTTCAAGAATTGATTTTCTACTGTTGATCATCCTTCTTTAAAAAAAAAAAAATCGTATTTCACCTCTCAAGGCCTATACAGAAGGCTTATCTTGCTCAGTCTGTGCTTAATATACCCCTCTTAGTAGAATGGCACTCAACTCAGCTTAAAGAGAAATACTGCCATCAAAGTACTTGGTCAGTTCCTGAGAGCCAGCTCCCTGCCTGCAGATGGAAGTGCTAAGCCCCAGACACCAGTCCATTGTAACAGGAAAAGCATACCAGGATAACAGCACAGGAATCCCTGGCTACCAGAATATAACATTTTATATAGTTTGTGGAAATAACTAAGATAAAGGGATATTTGTCCAAAAGTAACACAGAAACAAAAGCAGCCAGAAAACTTTCCATAGCAGTAAGTTCTGTACCTAAATACAATGTCACAATGTATATGCTAGAAGAAATTTATCAAATCCATGTCTGAGCTTAAATAATTCTCAGGGGTAAATTTTAACACTAAGTCCTAATCAATTATTAATGTTCATATTACTGTAGCCTTTAAAGTAAAATATTTAATTACTTTAATGAGATTAAAAATGTAAAGCTAGGGAATTCCCTGGAGATTCAGTGGTTAGGACTCCTTGCTTCCTCTGCAAGGGGCGTGGCTTCATCTCTGACTGGACAGCTAGGATCCCACATGACACACGGTGCAGCCAAAAACAAAGCAGAAACCAGTGACATTAAAAACAGAAAGTCACAGACAAAACCAACTATACCAAAAGCTGGTTCTTTGAAAACATGAGTAGAATTGTTAATTTTCTAGCCAGACTGAGATGGACACATTACCTATCAGAAATGAAAGTGCGGTCATCACTTCCCAGCAAGTATCTGGAAATAATTATTACTACGTATGAGTAATTCTGTATACACACTAAAGAAAATGAAGTCTCAGTAAATGAGACACTGATAATCTGGAAAATTAAAATGTTCACTGAATTATTTTCAATGAATGCATAAGGTAAAGGGGGGAAATCCATGGAAATAAATCTCCAACAAAATAACATCACCACAGAAAAGCAAGTGAATAACAGGTTAAGATAAAAGACAATGGGGAATATCATGGACAGAAAATGGTTCTATCTTCAACTAATGCTGCTAGCCAGCTTTTAAAGGAACCACAATTCCTCTTGTTTTGTTAACATACTTAACAATTACTATTATAGAATACTTTATAGTCTATGGGTATAATCCTAACTGTTCTGCATAAGAGGGTCACAAAGACCTCTTTTTGATTGATCAACACTAAGTTTAAAACCTATGTAAACAGTAAGCACTGAATATAGGTACTGATCATGTCAGTAAACCATGACAGTGAAAAGTGATTTTGTAAGTCTGCATTGTTTTAAAAAAATGTTAGCACAGTGAAAGGCACGTTAGGGATTCTTTCAACTTACACTTCTTCCCAATTATTTACTCACTTCTAATGGAAAAAAAAAAAGAACTTCTCAATTTAAAAACAAAACCAAGAAACTACTGCCAAGACTGAAGAAAAATATATTTCTTAGGGTAAAAATATGCGAAGTTGGCAAGTTAATGTTTTCTTTGAAAAGCAAAAAGGGGACTTCCCTGATGGTCCACACTTCCAATGCAGGGGGTACAGGTTCAGACTGGCCCTATTCAGGGAGCTGTGATCCCACATGCTAAGCAGCACAGTCAAAAAGTAAAATAAATAAGAATAAGCAATCACGCAAATCTTTATAAAACCCATTTAGTGAAAACTAGGCAATTTTAGACTCCTAGTGCAGTCATTTCCAACAATGGTGTAGTAAGAGCTGCCATATGCCGAAAGATCATATGGATTCTCTCTATTCGGTCTTCAGAGTTCATTAAAGCACAGTGTTAATTTAACTATGATCCCATCACTGAATCTACTGTAGTTTTGCATCTCCTAGCTGAGCCCCATAAAACCACTCACAAATGTACCCTATCCAAGTTTTATTCAAAAAATAAGACCTTTCTTATTCAAAGGGAAGAAGTTAGAGAAGTTAAACTTACAACAAATGACACAAGTTTAGCATACATTTTCCTCCCAGCAACCCGTCTGACAATCACCAACTACTTTTTTCTAATTTTCTTTCACTTTGTCCAGTTTTGTTTTTTACGACTCAAAAATATACATTATTTTACAAGCATGTATTTGGTTTTGAAAATAAGATTCCAACACATAAATTTAAGCCATTAATAATCATACAAATGCAAGGTCTATAAAATATATAAATTATGGTCAAAAACCAAGTTACTCATTGGGTTACCAAGTTGAGTTCTTAGTAACTCACAGATTATAAGTTCATGAGGTACATACCTTATGACAGAATTCGTCACTTTCTGCAGAAGTTCTGGAATTTGTGACGCTAAAAAAGAAAGCGCTTGTGAACTTTGTTCTCCTACATAGGAGAGCAGCATCGCTAACAACCTATGTATGATGCCATGCCAACACCACTTGGATGTTTTGTAACTGATGTGAACTGTGAAACAAATACATGCACATATACTTTGGGGGTAGTTCATTTTATCACAGGTTTTTACTCCTGATCTGACTTTAGACATGTACAGCATCAAAATGGTATTTTATCAAAGGACACTAAATTTTTGAAGTTGCTCCCCACTCTGTTATACACATGATTAGCAACCCGTATTTTACTTCCAATTCAAACAATAAACTCAGTGGGATCTGTATGATTGTTCACAGGATGTAATAAATGCAAATCAACTCTGCTAAATAAGAAAAATCCATTTCAAACATCTTCAAGACTCAAGAAAAACAAACACCATTACATGTTTTTATCATTTTATTAGGAATAATTCCAAATGGGTTATGAAGAAAACTTATTCATTGAGTTTGATGAGTTTTCCAAAAACTCTTAATGAAGATATGTTCACCAATAAACAATAAAACATCAGCAGAACTATCATATACTGGGCAAAGAGTCAGACTGATACCAAAAACAACATGCAACATAAAAAAGATACAATATAAAGGAAGACAATCTGCTGAGGATTAAAAATCATCTCCATATGCACTCTTTGCATCTAGCACAGAACTAATTATCAAATCCAAACCACACCAAGGTACGCTTGGCTGATGAAAGCCAGGAGTCAATAACAATGGGGGGAGAAATAGAAGTTCCTCAGTGCAAGATCTGAATAGTGTTTTGGAGCATTTCCCTGGCTGGTACAAGCAGTATTAAAAAATCTTTTTGGCAAGGGGGGGAAATAAATACAAATGGAATGCTACATTTTTTTTTAAATCAGCAGACTGTCCCAGGAATGATACAGGTATCATTAAAGTAACAAGGGGTAACTTTAAAACATTATTTCTTGTGGGCTCAAAAACAAACAAACAAAAAAAACCAAACATTCAAAATGGATTTATTTAAAGGTGTCACATTAGCTAAGTCCAGGCATTTAGGCTTAAGGGAAGTAAAATTAAAAGAGGACACTTTTTTTTTCCCAAGTTAAGGAGAAATCTCTTTAAAACCAAGCATATTGCTAAATGGCAATATTATACTTGGTAAACAATAATTGGCAACAAAATAAGTTTAAACGCAGTAATATTCTGCCCAAACCAGTCCCAGATACTGTTTAATAACCAAGATGCAAACTAATTTTGTTGTAACAAGCCTAGACCAATTCTATCAAACATGTCCTTGGTTAGATATCCAGCTTCATTTAACGTTTTGAAAGCTCATTTGACAGCCAGTCAAGTCCCTCATACAGACCGGTTCCTTGTGTAGCACAAGTGGCTTGAACATACCACTGTAAAGAAAGGACAACAAGAACATGCTTGATTAATACAATCAATGTTTAACATTTCTTATTCAGGAAATTATTTTCCAGGGGAATTAGGAGGTACCATAAAGATATAGAAAAAAGGAAAAAAATACATAAAGTCATAGAAACTAAAGTTGTCAGAGAGTTAAGGTATTATTATATCTCACAATGACTAATTTTATATCTAATAAAATATAAAAAGCATATGACTGCTGAGGATTAAAAATCATAAATCATCTGCATATGCACTCTTTACATCTAGCACAGAACTAATTAGCGATCATATCCAAACCCACCAAAGTAAGCTAGGCTGATGGAAGCCAGGAATCAATAATGGGCAGAGAAACAGAAGTTCTGCTACTCATTCATTACATTTAACCAACTACTACTTTATCTGAATGTTCACGGCAAAATTTGTATTAATAACTAATAATACCCACTTGGCCCTTGTTTCTCATAAAACTAAGTGCAAAGTAGAGGAAGCAAAATTTTCAAAGAGTAAGGATTGCTAATATTTCAGAGGCAAGCTTTTCCAAGAATTTCACTGTCTTTAGTCTCATGCACCCCAAAAGATGTCTACGAATGTCATCTTCAGTATATCAAATGCCATGAAAATATACAAATGCCAGGAAAAAGACCTAGAAAGTAATTTAATTATCTTCATGGGATGATTTACTAATTTTCTTTATTGACTAGTTTTACTTTGCTTAAAATAAATACTTTGTTTTAATGTTGCAAAGTCACTTCAAGTCTACCATATGCTGCCAATTATTACTTGAACACCAAAGACCCTAATAACCTAGAAGGCTGGGAAAAAGTATGAATACATATCTCCTGAGCATGGAAAACTGGCATCGTTTAGTCTGTCTTATTTAAATTAGCCTGGGGCATGTTAAACAGTGAATACAGTTATTGTCATACCACAGTATTTGCCTTGTTGACAAGTTAATGAAAAACTATTGTAAAGCACAAGCTACAAAAACTGTGATATTTTTACACATAAAATAGTATATTGTATTTTGCTAATACTTAAATAACTGATCTAAAATGATAAGTTATTGGAGAGAAAATAGATTTTTTATAATTAAAAACTCAAAACTTGTTTAATATCATAGGTATAGTCCCTGCACAAGTTTAGTGCTACCATGAAAACAGTACCAAATAGTATTTAAAATATAGCTGATAAATATTGGAGTTTTAAAAAGAAAATCTCACCACAAAATATGTGCTGCAGAGTTATATAAAAGATAGGTTTGAAATAAAGCCTAAAGGAGCTTATTTTTATATAAGCAAGAGTCTCTTATAGGTTTTTTTCGGCTGCACTGCAAGGCATGAGGGATCTTAGTTTCCCCAACCGGGGCCTGAACCCATGCTCCCTGCAGTTAAGAGTGGAGTCTTAACCACTGGACCGCCAGGGAAGTCCCTATAGCTTTTAAAAAGATGTGCTCACTACCTGTTTCAAAGAGGACAAGTAAGTTATAAATGTTTAAACTAAACATTAGCTTAAAAAATTATCCTAATGATTGAAACTCCAAATACTTACTGTTCTGTTACGAAGGGACTGAAGACCTAATTTATCTGTCATTTCACTAATAGCCATAGCATTCGGCAAGTCCTGTTTGTTTGCAAAAAGCAGCAACACTGCATCTCGCAACTCATCTTCCTGAAGCTAAAAATAAAAACTAAGACTTTAATAACTATCAAATCAAAATTCAATTACTGTAACAAACTAGGTACAACACTGTCTTCCTACATATATACATCATTTATTCAACATTAAATACATTATCAAACATCGAACCAATAATCATACAACTACACGTAAAACAAAACTATTCTCTTAAGTAAATTAACCTACACTTTGTTAAGGTAAATCATTCATTCAGTCTTGACAGTCACCCACAGAGGATCAGGACTGGCAAGGACAAGAAACACACATAGGAATAAACATTTATGGAAGAACTTTATGTTATTTAATTGTAAACTTATTTACATGGTGAGTCTTTCTGGACTTTTATACTTTCTAGTCAGCAGGATCAAACAATGGGAAAATGATATAGTGATTAGGGCATAGTAGTATCATGAAAAATACAATAATAATACCAAAAGCTGAAGCTGGTAGGAATCAAACACCGAGACAAAACTCGGAAACTTATGCTAAGTACAAAGCGACAGAACCTTTTAAAAGGTTAACAAAAAACCATATGCGTATATACGGGGGAGTGTGGAGTGGAGGGGAGGTATGGGGGACAAATGCTACTGTTTATAGGATTTCTTTTGGAAGTGATGAAAATGTCCTAAAATTCAACTGTGGTAATGATTATACAATTTTATATACTAGAAACCACTGACTTCCATATATCAAATGAGTGAAGTTATGGTATGTGAATTATATCAATAAAACTTTACCAAAAAAGATGAAAAAAAAAAAAAAGAAAAAGAAAGAGCAGAAGGGGTAATATTTAACTGAGACATAAAAAGCACCAGTTACACATATACCAGCACTAGGGTTTTATAAACTTCACTCAACATTCTTAGGAGCAGTGAATGATAATATTTCAGTAAATATTTCACAGCTATAAGTCTGAAACCATGGCAAAGTTCCTCAACAATCCTCCCCCCCCTCAAGATTTTTAACAATATGAATATATGAAAATATTAATCTAATATATGGCAAGGACAAAATGCCACCATCAACCAAAATGCTATATCCTTTAGGTGGATTTTTTTTATCATGGTTGATATTACAAAACACTTTGAAGTTATATTATAGGTACAGTATAGAGAAAACTGAACCCAATGACCTTGGGAACAAGGATTCCAAGATCACAAACACTTCAAAACTGGAGATTCACTCACACAGCATTCTACAAACTGGGCTTTCCTCCTAACTTGCTGAAGCAGTCGCTCACTCATCAGTATAAATTTTCATGTGCAGTCTTAACAATCTGTGAATACAGTTCCTCAAGGTTCTTTCTAAGCTCACTGATATAATCAGATTACAGTTAAAATGTACTGACCACTAGTATCACCACTGTCACCCAGAAAATAACGTATCTTGGAAATGATAAATTTAAAAAATATTCTCACCATTTTCTGCAGCTCTTCTGCTCCTTCCTGAATTCTTTCACGATCATTGCTATCTACCACAAAAATAAGACCCTGAAAAAATTGTTTAAATAAATTATAAGTTAAATTTAAAACACACAATAAACATGAAACCTAAATATACAGGCAGCAAAACCATATCAAGAGTTAAGTGCTAGGAAGAAAGTTTCCTTACTTAAAAAAAAAAAAAAAGAAAAGACAGAGCAGTAAAAACTAAAAACAGATTTGAGCACTATTTGTGATTTTTAACTTATCAATGCTATTTCCAAAAAAAAACCAACTCTTACTCTTTTTTCAACCACACTAAAGAATAAATTTTATCCCTTTCCCCTGCCCTTGGAAGTTTAAGTGCAGGTGAGTATTAGTAACAAAATGGCCACAAAGTGGGCACACAAAAGTATAAAGGAAGGACAATCCAATTTAGATCAAAGGACAATCCTAAAGATTCAATTTACTAACTGAATTAGTGTACTCGAAGGCATGCACAAAATGAAACTAAAAAAAGAGGAAGGAGGGCACTTCAGGAGTTTCTCTATGTTTCATATAAAAAGAAAGCCTTACTCTAGAATGCTGCCTGCCAGTTCCAGAAACAGGGCAAGAAAGTTTTAAGCCAAATATATCAAGAAAAATTCAAGAATGACTTGATCAAGTAAGAAATTCTTAACAAAAAAGAAGATAGTAACCATTCTTAAAGATATTCATATATTAGAATTTCATACTACAAAAGAATTAGAATTTTATACTAATTGGGAAGGAAGTAGTTGAATTAAGATTCTTCCAAAAACTTTCAAATGGAAAAGTATACAATTTTAAGTTAGAGACAGGGCAAATTTGTTAAAATCTATCCCTATTGTACCAAGTATTATTATTCTCCCCACAACCTGACCTAAGTATTTTTAATCTTCTGTCACTTTACCACAAACTGTCTTGTGCTACTATTTGTGTAAGTCATCACATTAAATCCACTGAGGGATTAATCCTCTCAGTATTATCATAAAGCTTGCTAGGTACTATGCCAATAAGTATTTCAGGCTACGGGCATTAAGTGACATATACTTTCTTTTGGTCTAGAAAACTTCAAGCCCATTTCCTTTATCTCTGCAGGAAATCACTTTAAACACCCTACCCTTTGAAAAAAATTTTGATGCTTTGAGAGCCAGTATATCATAGTGGGTAGATTTTGTTTTCTTGGGCTCCAAAATCTCTGTGGTGACTGCAGCCAAAAATTAAGAAGCTTGCTCTTTGGAAGAAAAGCTATGACAAACCTAGACAGCATATTAAAAACCAGCAAAATCACTTTAGCCGACAAAGGTCCATATACGTAGTCAAAGCTATGGTTTCTCCAGTAGTCATGTACGGATGTGAGAGGTGAACCACGAAGGGGCTGAGCACCAAAGAACTGGTGCTTCTGAGCTGCGGTGCTGGAGGAGACACTTAGAGCCCCTTGGACTGCAAGGAGATCCAACCAGTCCATCCTAAAGGGGATCAACCCTGAATATTCACTGGAAGGACTGATGCTGAAGCTGAAGCTCCAGCTCCAATATTTTGGCCATCTGATGTGAGGAGCGGACTCAGTGGAAAAGGCCCTGATGCCGAGAAACACTGAGGGCAGGAGGAAAAGGGGGCAAAAGAAAATGAGATGGTTGGATGGCATCATAGACTCAATGGACCTAAGTCTGAGCAAACTACAGGAGATAGTGAAGGACAGGGAAGCCTGGTGTGCTGCAATCCATGGGGTCACAAAGACTCAGACACGGCTTAGCAACTGAAACAACAATGGCATAGTGGAAAAACAACAAATTCAAATCTAGGCACTGGTTATTAATTATATAAATTACCTAATCTTTGAACATGCCTCCTATTCTATAAAATAGAATACTAACAATTTTTTAAGCCTATTAAAGATTAAACATAACCACAGAAGTATAAAAGAATCTAACATTTATATTTGGAATATCACAGGCATTTAGTAACTGTCTCCTTTTCCTCCTATCCTGAAAATCAGTCCTTTTTAGAACCTACTTGTCTAGAAGAGGTAATGCCTCTAAAACGGATCTAATTTTATCTGGACTACTAACAATCTATTTTTATTGTTTAAAATGCAAACAACACTGTCAGTCCCAACATAATATTAAGAGGAAAGGTTATTTTAGAATTAAGTTTAAGTTATTCACTTCCTGAGACAGCATAGAATCCAGAGGGTAGAAAAGTTAAGATTCTAAAAATGGCTAGTCTAAGAAAAGACTACTTAAAAAGCCAAATATTTACTTATTTGTTTAGAATAGGAAAATAATATACTATATCAATTATACAGAGAAGAGGAATTTACTGCAATAAACAAGGTGTCATGGATTGTTAATGTAAGTTAGAAAAAGTATGGTTAAATGGAATAATTAGCTTCTAAAAGAACTGATCATGAATGTTGCAAAAGATAGCTTTAAGAGGTTAGTGGTGATTACATCAGGTAATCATAAAGTTTTCTCCAGCAGCCTTGAGGTCCCTGGGAAGAAGTACTTGAACTTTCAATTCTAGGGTGGTCCACAGAGGCCAGGAATAAGTCTAATTACAAGTTAAAAGTAAATTAAATAGCAGTCTAAACAAGTCAAGGAATACGACCAGGGTTACCTTTGGTCAAGAGTGAAAGGCTTAAAAATATGGAAACATCTCTATGTCCATCAACAGATGAAAGGATTAAAGAAGATGTAGCACATATATACAACAGAATATTACTCAGCTGTAAAAAAAGAATAAAATAATGCCATTTGCAGCAACATGGATAGACCTACAGGTCATCATATTAAGTGAAGAAAGTCAGAAAAAGAAAGACAAATACCATACGACACCACTTATATGTGGAATCTAAAATACAACATAAACGAACATATCTACGGAACAGAGACAGGCTCACAGACATAGAGAACAGACTTGTGGCTGACAGGTGGGGGTGATGGGGGGGGGCTGGGAGCCTGGAATTAACAGATGCAAACTAGTATACATAGGATGGATGAACAAGGTCTTATTGTATAGCATAGGTAACTATATTCAATGTCTCGTGGTAAACCACAATGGAAAAGAACATGTTAAAGAATATATGTCTACATAACTAAGTCACTTTGCTGTACAGCAGAAATTAAAACACTATAAATCAATTATACTTCAATAAAATTATAAAAATTAAATAAATTATAAAGAATTAAAAGTTTAGGATTACCAGTTTTATTTCATACCAAATTTATTTCAAAAGTGTGTTCTCTAAAAAACTGCCTATGACTTACTTTAAAACAATCCAAAAGACAGAATATATAATAAAGGAGTATCAATTAACAATACTGTCCATAACCTAATAACTGAAGTTGAGTGATAGATATGTGGGAGTTTATTATGCTATTCTTTACATTTGTATATATTTGAAAACTTTCACAACAAAGTTTTAAAATATAACTCATATTAAAACATTTTCTAACCACAGCTATGTTAATGAACAGGCTTCCCTGTGGCTCAGATGGTAAAGAATCAGCGTGCAATGTGAGAGAACCAGGTTTGATGCCTGGGTCACAAAGATTCCCCCTGGAGAAGGGACTGGCAACCCACTCCAGTATTCTTACTTGGAGACGCTCATGGACAGAGGAGCCTGGTAGGCTACAGTGCCCGGGGTTAGGAAGAGTGAGACACGACTGGGCGACTGATACTTTCACTTTTATGTTAATGAACAGAAACACTTATTTTTTAATAAAAAGTATGTCACTTACTTAACATGACATGCTACTTAAACCTGGTTGTTTCAGCCACTCAGAGTATTCACTGCTACCTGGTACCAATAAACCTCACTTGTATACCGTGTTATAAGAGGGGGAATCAAGAATGACATCTGCACCTCTTAAACATAGGAAGTGCTTGTAACATCAAACATTACTTTTTTTTTTTTTACAAACCTTTATCAACTCCAGTAGTAAACAAAAACTAACAAGAAACCCCTCATGTGGTAGAAATCACCAGAGTTGGGACCTACTTAACTGAAAGTGTAAAATAAGAACCAGCTTTCCAGTCTTAATTAAGTCATTCCAAGCTTCAGTTTCCTCATATATAAGAGTTAGACTACCACAGTGGTTCTTAAGAGCGAGCAATTTTGTCTCCAGGAAATATTCTGCGATACATGGAGACATTTTCGGTTGTTGCAACTGGCCTGAGTAGGGGAGACTGTGACTGGGTAGATTACGACTAGTGGATAAAGGCCAATGCTGCTGCCAAGCGCTCTACAATGAACACAAAGAGCCCTCTCCATAGTCACCAACAAAGAATTAACCACCCTGAAATGTCAGAGATGCTACTGCTGGAAAACCCAGTAATGGAGCCGAAGGTCCCAAACCAGCAGTATTAGCACCATCACCTGAGACTCTGCTAGGAATGAAGACTCTCAAGCCTTCCTCAGCCAGGTCCCACTGAACTGACCTGTATTTTAACAAATACCCAGGTGATTCATATGCAGATTAAAGTCTGAGAAACACTGTTAGTTTATGTTGTCTAGTTTATGTTGCCAGAGATTCTGATCCAAGTGGTCAGGTGTTATGCTCAGGTTTTTGAGGCTTTTAATACTCTCCAGGTGACTTTAATACGCAAATTGGAGAATTTCTGCTCCACAGGATCACTAAAGTCTCTTCCACGTCAGTATTATACATACTACATAATACAAAAATACCTCACAAATCAACAGAGAAGCTCTAACTTAATATTTTCCTCACGTATTTTAATAAACTCTTAACTGAGTTAAATGAAGCACTATTAATTGCAGTACATTCGTTAAAAACGACAATGACAGAAAGCTATACTTTTAGAAGAAAGATCTTACTTCTAAGATTCTACACTAAGAACGAAACCAACAGAACTACTGATGACATCTAATTCAATCTTGAGAGCCACCCCAATCCACCTTCCAAAATATTACTATGATAATTATGTAACTTTTCTACCCTAGGTAATTTAGTCTACAAAGGTACGAAGGAGAGAGTCCACTGAAGAACATGGAAGTACTGATAAGAAGAATGCCAGCTCACAAAATGAACATGAATATCCAAGTAGACAGTATATATTAAACTTTACAGCATGAAACATATAAAGAGAAGTTATAAAATGTATAGCATTCCTTACTTACCTGGGTATTTTGAAAGTAATGCCTCCAGAGAGGCCTAATTTTATCTTGACCACCAACATCCCATACTGTGAAACAAATGTTCTTATATTCTACTGTTTCCACATTAAAACCTACATAGGAAAAAGAAAAAAAGAAAAGACCACTGAGCACAATGTCATTCAGAAAACAACCCCTTTGATTGTGGAATTCCCCCAGAATTGGTTTTTGACTTTTTTTTAAAGTCCTAATACATAATCAACAAAGGTAAAAACCCAAGACAGTTACAATAATGCATATATGTTATTAATGGTATTTGTCCAAACCCACACAATGTACCAAACCTTAAGTATATCGACTTCGGATGATCACAATATGTCAGTGTATGTTTATTAATTGATAAAATAAGTGATATTGGTGATGGAGAGGGCTATGCATGTGTAGAGGAAGAGTACATATGGGAAATCTCTGTAGTTTCCCTTCAGTTTTTCTGTGAACCAAAAACTACTCTAAAAAAAGGTCAAAATTAAACTGTATTCTATTTCACTTTATAATACATTATTATTATATAAATAAAAATCACTGTAAACCTTCTTACCAATGGTAGGAATGGTGGTGACTATCTCCCCTAACTTCAGTTTATACAGAATGGTCGTCTTGCCAGCAGCATCCAATCCAACTAGAAAAAGACATTACAGATTTTAAATCTAGACCAAAAGGACACACTAAGAAACAATTGTACAACAAATTTTTAGTTTGAAAGCAAAAGTTGACTGGTCAAGGCACTAATGAGTTAGAAATGAAATCACCTCATTTCTAACTCCCGAAGACCACACTTCCTAAAAATGCCATTTCCATTTTCCTTTCTAGACCTAGAGAGACAGCACGTGGTCACTTAAGGAAAGAGGTCAGAGAAATTAGCTATAAAATAAAGGGACCTGATCAAGTAATCTGAGATCTCTTTCAAGTCCTCATTAATTCCATGAAATACTACCATTTTAAAAAACACAAATTAGAAATGGGATCAGAGAACACATAAGAACAAATGAAGAGCAATCTTTAAGATTGACAAAGTCAATTCCTTTAATATAACAAGAAAATGTTAACTAAAGGTCTTAATGCTAGAGGAAAACCTGTATATAACTATGCCCTTCTTAAATCATAAAGATGAGGCCAACTTTACCCGTATCTTAATCCATTTCAACATCAAATGTGCAGAAGTAATACAAAAGACTGATTAATCTGGGTTGTGAAAACTGCCCTATCATACTCATCTCCAATGTAATGCCTAAATTCTTACAATTCCTTTGAGGCAGGTGGATATAAGGAGGGAGGAATGTACCTGCTTCTGAGAAAAATCCATGCTACAACAAAAATACACAGAAGAGACTGAAAAGCAAATTAAATGTTTAAGTATGAATCTTTGAAAATCTGTACACACTACATTATGTGCTAAAGCCTTCAAGAATGGGAGACCAATATTTAGTAACCTCATTGAATGGATTATTCATCTAAGGAATCACATTTGGTCACCTACATTAACACTATCACAGATTTTAAAATCAATTCAACAGAGTATAGACTTAAGCAAGGATATTTACTTCAGAGCATGACTTAACAAAGGAAACCCATGCTGATTAAAAAAAAAAAACCAAAACTGAAATCACCTCACTTATCTAACTTACATTCCTGTGCAAGTAGTTTAACTTTTATCAGTTAGTTCAAAATGAAATCAAAGACTAGAGCAGGCTACTCAAATTCCTTCTACCTATATAACAATCCTTTCTGCTCCGTATCCTACAATGGGAAGAGCTTTAAGGTCTTCCTGGAATTGCAAGGCAATTATACTCCCCTAAAATTAATAAAATATAATATTGTATTATTTTATTAAAATATAATAAAATTTTAAAAAGAGGAAAGTATGAGAAGGTATCTCATCAAAGAGAGATATGAAAACTATTAAAAACAGTCAAACTGAAACTCTGGAGTTAAAAAGTACAATATCGAAATGGAAAAAACCACTAGAAGAGTTCAGCAGCATATCTGAGCTGGTAGAAAAAGGAATCAATGAGCTTTGAGATAGGTCAACTGAGACTATTCACACTGAGGAAAAGGAAAAAAAACAATGAAGTAAAGAGTATCAGAGACCAGAGGGACACCATCACGGATGCCAAAATGTGCATAATGAAAGCCCCAGAAAAGGAAAGAGAAATAATATCTGAAGAAACAGTGACTGAAAACTTCCCAAAGTTGATGAAATACCCCAAAAGCTGAAAAACTCGAAGTAGGATGAACTACAAAAAAAACTAACACTTAGATTGTAAACAAAGTGCTGAAAGCTAGAGAAAGAAAGAATCCTGAAAGCAGCGAGAGAGAAATGATTTATCATGTACAGAAGACTCTCAGTAAGATTAAATGCTGATTTCTCATCAGAAACTATGGAAGCCAGAAGGCAGCAGGATGTTATATTCAAAAGTAATGGAAAGAATATCCATCAGACTCCTACGTCCAGCAAAACTATCCTTCAAAAATGAGAAAGTAAGACATTTCCAAATAAAAACTAAGAAAATTTGTTACTAGCAAACCTATCCTACAAAAAAACACTAAAAGGAGTTTCAAACTTCAGTAAAAGGACTCTAGATAATAATGTGAATCCAATATGGAGAAATAAAGAGCACTGGTAAAAGATAAAAAAAAAAGAAAGGGGTTGAACCGGGGTCTCCCGCATTGCAGATAAGATTCTTTACCATCTGAGCCACCAGGGAAGCCAGGTAAAAGATAACTACATATTCAATAAAAGGCAGTTACAGAAACAATCTCCATGGAGACTCAGGCATCTTATGCTCTTTTACTCCTGTATCCTCTAATCACTCTGTTCCCCACTTCTTCATACTGAAACTGTTTATTCTGTCCAAAATATCATGACACTTAAAGTGAATAGCCACACTCTAAGCCCTCACTTATGGGCATAAGAAAAACAAACCATTAACAGGAACTGCTTTATCCTCAACTAGGGATGGATTGAACCTGTGTTACTCCGCAGAGCAAGTTCGGAGTCTTAATCACTGGACTACCAGGGAAGCCCCTGTTTTATTTTTCAACTATGGAACAGTAGCAAACATATCAGAAAACATAACTTTAAAAGATACACAAGGAAACAAAAGCAGCTACCTTAGAGTTTAGCATTTTCAATAAAAATACAGAGAACGAAGGGGTGAACAACAGGATCTTTTCATTGTTGGAAAAAGCTAAGTATCTTGAATCTAAATCCTTTTCAGTCAGTTTTTATCAAATTTTCAAATAAAGCAAAATTCACCTTTAGCTAAGTCCAAATACCATTAGCCCAAGTCAGAAGAACTAAAACTGAAATGATTAGAAAAAAAGCTTGTAGGGACTCCCTGATGGTCCAGTGGTTAAGAATCCTCCTCCCAACCCAGGGTACACAGGTTTGATCTCTGGTGCAGGAACTAAGATCCCACATCTTAGTGGGCAACTAAAACTGCACCACAACTCCTGAGCCCAAGTGCCAAGAGCCCATACTCTGCAATGAGAAGCCACTGCAACGGAACGCCTGTGCACTGCAACTAGCGTAGCCCCCACTCACAACTAGGGAAAGCCCGTGGGCAGCAATGAATACCCAGCACAGCCAAAAATTAATTAATTAAAAAATAAGTTTTTAATTTGTGTTTAGTTTGGAGAACTCTTGTATACACCTGTCCTCACTGGAGGTCCAACTAGACCTCAAATCTTAGTCCAAAAATATTGACAAGGAATGAAAGAAATCTGAGACAAATAATGATTACATTACATAACTATTTTAGGTTATACAAAAGCATGCAGGTAATTAAACTTTTCTTTAAATGACAATTTATACCTGTTTGTATGCATAATTAATATTTTTCTACTCTATATACTTAGAACTTTTTTATACAACAAACACGTATTGATTTCATTAAAAAGAAAATATTTCCCAAGTAATGTCTTTCCTTTATTAAAAACTGCTGGGACTAGTAAAAACTCATCAGGATGACTGCTTAAGAGACTTAATATTTTATATGCTTATTTAAATTGAAAAAAGAAGAGAACATTTACAAAAATAGTGCACCCGTAAAGTTTTTTTAAGCACCTGTAAGCTATTTTAAAAATTTTAAGACAAGAGTTAAGTGGCTCACAGCCACATACAAGACTCTAAAATCACAAAGATTATCTTTTTTGAGTTGCATCTAAAGTGTTGTATAAATGCAAGCCCTAAGTTTTGAGGTATTTTTATCATGAAGTTTAAGATGCACAAATTAATGTATATCATCACTCATTACATAGTTCTTTACTCAAAAAATGTTGGTCTAACAATTCTGTGCCACTTTAGTGATTTCTTAAGTATGTATTTTCTTACAGTTGCAATATTTGGCAATGAGATTTCTCCACGAAATGAAGCTATAACCAATCCCCAACTAGCCAAGATAAGACTAATCTGTACAGTCCAGTAATGTCCTCCCCCTCCCTCTCACCCTCATAAACAAGTCACTGTTTTGAAAGATATACTGGAATTACTTATTCTCCTTGACTGGACCTACACTTCGACGGAACAGTCAAAAGCAGCAAAACTGTCCCCCAAATCTTTTGGCAATCATTAGAAATACTTTTATTTTAAGTTAAAGAAAATAGATTACAATTACCTCAACTTGAGAAAAAACCAAATGCAAAAAAGAAAAAAGACTGAAAAGAAAACAAGTATATTTTCAGTAAGTAAAGTTTCAGTTAGGATATTTTTCTTCATGTTTTGTTTATCTTTCAAATTTTCTACAAGGAAGCTAGAAATAAAACTTCAGAATAATTTTTAAATAATTAAAAATCAAGTCCTTATTGTGTTCCAAACACAATACCAGGTAATCCCATACATTTTGTAATTTAACCCTCACAATAACTCTCCATTTTTTAGATGCAAAATCTGAAATTCAGAAATGTTCTCAGAATCACAGGAGTAGTAAGAAACACAAGATCTTTTCCAGAAACTAGACCCATACATAGCTGCAAGAATGTGAAAAGGTGTAGCTGCTTTGAAAAAGTCTGTCAGTTCCTCAATATGTAAAACATAATTAAGAATGACCCAACAATCCCATTCCTAGCTAATTTACCCACGAGAATTAAAAATATATGCCTCCACAAAAACTGCATGAATGTTCACAGTAGCATAATTTGTAAGAACCAAAATGTGTCAACAACTACATTTCCATCAACTGAAGAATGATAAACTGTGGAATATATCCATACAGTGGAATTACTACTTGGCCATAAAAAGGAATGGAGTACTGATACATGCTATAATGTGTCAGTATAATGAACCTTGAAAACATGTTAAGTGAAAGAAGTTAGACACTAAAGGCCACATATATCCTGAACAAACAAGACCATAGCAACAGAAAGCCGAAAAGTGGTTTGTTGCAAGAGGGAGGGGTGAGGAGCAGGAGTGACTGCTAAAGTGGTGGGGTTTCTTTCCGGGCTGATGAAATGTTCTAGAATTAACACAGTGGAAGGAGTTCCCTGGTGCCCTAACAGTTAGGATTTTGGGCTTTCACTGCAATGGTCCAGGTGAGATCCCTTCTCAGAGAACTAAGATCCCCCAGCCACCAAAAAAGAAAAAGATGGTGTAGTGGTTATACAACTTTGTGAATATATCAAAAATCACTGAATTATACACTTTAAATGAATGAGTATTATGTGAATTACATCTCAATTTTTAAAAAATTAAAAACAATGTTAGGTCTGATGCCAGAGTATTCATATATCAACATTCTTCCCTCAGGTTTTATTGGTGGACCCAGAGTACATTAATATTTTATCTAATTCCTCAGAGGTTCAGTTATCAAAACTGACACTGATGCTAAAAGATGTATAGGAAAATTATAATGAGCTTGGGTTTTGTTTCTACCCAACAGCTCAGGGATGTCAGCACTTTGATTACTATTTATTAATTAGTAGCAAATTATCAGTCTCTGATAGAAATACTTCATAATAACGCATGAGGGTGCACCTAAGCGTGGCTGCATCAACTTCTAATGGCATGCTGCTGCTGCTGCTAAGTCACTTCAGTTGTGTCCGACTCTGTGCGACCCCATAGACGGCAGCCCACCAGGCTCCTCCGTCCCCGAGATTCTCCAGGCAAGAATACTGGAGTGGGTTGCCATTTCCTTCTCCAACGCTTGCATGCATGCATGCAATGCTAACTTGCCTCAGTCATGTCCGACTCTGTGAGACCCTATGGACAACAGCCCACCAGGCTCCTCTAGGCAAGAATACTGGAGTGGGCTGCCATTTCCTTCTCCATCTAATGGCATAAAGCTAAGGATTTTCTTCTATCATATAACTAATCAGAAGACCTCCCCCCTTTTTTAAAGGCTGGCAATTATGTTTTCAGTTAATGACCTAAGAAAAAGGTCATAATAAACTAAGTAAAAAAAAACACAAAGCTATATACCACAACTACAATTCCGGAGAAACAAAAACTTCCTCGTAAAGGCTAAAAGTAAATATAACAAATATTAATAGTGGAATGGTGGAATTATAAGATATCAATTATTCTTTTTCACATCTTCTAAATTTAACAAAAAGGACATTATTTTTAGAATCAGGACCAAAAGTTTCAAATTACATAGTAAATATATTTATAAAATATGCTAGGGGAAAGTGTGAAAGATCACTACTACTTTAGTAGTATTTTTCAAATTGGTGAAAGATCTTTCCTCCTGAATCTCTCTGGTCCAAAAAAGCCAATCACATGTAAAATAACAAATCTACACTCGATTAGCAATTTTTTTGCAAGCCAACACTTTTTCAGCTTTTCAACAGGCACGAAATTGCAAGTTTAAGAGAGCAGAATTAATAATTCCTCTACATAACATAGTTTTCAAATATAAACAACATTTAGGGAGTAATTTACCAAAATTACATCTCACCACAAATTAAAATATGGAGGTCATACTGAGGTAACTAGCTGACTTTGAATTTAAGCTCAATAATAATCATTCACATGTGATTTTCCCTTTGGAGAAAAATAATTTCTATCAATCTAAAGTTTGATGTTACATTCGATACACTGTGTTATTTTAAATTTTTTCATTAGTTAACATAAAGTGCAACTTCAAACATCTTTTAAAATTACTTTAGCTTTCAGGAAAGCATGTGTACTAATAAAACATAAAACTCCACAGTAATTTGGCAAACCAGATTCATTAGCTAACTGCTATCTTTCAATAATACTTTAAAGTGGTAAAATCTGAAAAAATCACTGACTCAAGAAAGCATGAATTCTATCTAAGCCATATAAAGGAAAAGGAAGAACACATGCCTGTCAGAGAACATTAATAATGGAAAAATAATCTTTAATTGGTAATTCTAAACTTGGATGGGGCAGACACATTAAGATTATTTATGCTATCCCTCATTAAGCTAGATATAAAAATCTAAGAGTGATTAAACTTTCCAATCACCTATTTCACTATCCATACACATACACCCCATATGGTTAATGCTTCATTTGATGCGTTACCATAAAAGGTGACCTTGTGATTTCACTACATTTAATCAAGGAAACCTAATTATCCTGAATTAAAGTGTAAAACAAGAATAGCAAGCCTGACTAATAAAAATTTAACATGAAATGACTTAAATAATTTAAAATCATGACTTCTACTCCCTGCACAAATGCACAAAGTTACTTTTCTTCTTCCACTTTCTTTCAATCATTTCTGGGGAGTAAGGGGGAGAAATGTTCCCCTAACACATATCAAAATTTGAAAGTGCTTAGCCCATACATAATTCTACATTTCTTTTCTGAAACTTTCAGCCATTACAAAAGACTAATGAAACGAAAAACAACAATTTATTTACAAGAAATCTTAAGTAAAATATTATATACTCCATTTCAAATATAACACACTACACTTCCCAAGAACAGAAACACACACTAGGTAATCTCTTTAAAGAACACGCTGGAAATTCATTTATGACAGTCCAAAGGTCTCCCACTGACTTCAAATACTTCAGACTGTCGATTTTCAGGTACTTTTAAAGCTCAAACATTATGCTTACCCTCCTAAAAATAATTCTTTTTAATAACTGAAATCTGATAAACTTTTAAAGAGAAAACACTTTCATTTATCTCTGCGAATGAATTATCAACAACTGTTTCAGGGATTGTGAATAAGCTGCAACTAGTGTTAAGTGAAAAAAGAACCAAATGGGCATACCCTTAACCGTCCTGTATCTTAAACCTTGCTTCGGGGAATTTTTAAATAAAACCTCCCCCTACTCCACTTCTCTAGAAAACAAGCTAATGAAACAACAAAACTCAATGTTTAAATTTATTGAGGCTCCTCGTAGTATCATTTAGGTTCACAAACCTAAGTTGTGATGTAAAAACTACTCACAGTACCGTCGGGGAGGCGCTGCTTACATCACTCAACTGACAAGCCCCTTCTCCTTCAGAAGAGCAAAACACCGATCCTAAAGAGCAATTTTTCAAAAGCCCGCCTTCCATAAGAATTTTTTAAAACACTCGTGTAATTTACTCCTTAACAAGGTCTCCATAAAATTCTGCGTCATGATGTTCACTTACTGAAAACTTGTCACTAGCTTAAAAAAAAAGTTTCTAAGCCTTCTCTTCCCCCCACCCCCCGCCATCTCATTAAACTTTAGCCAGCTGAATAAAAATTACTTTGAAAACCCTCTGGTAACCAAATATATTTGGCCCTTGAGACTGGCCAAAAGAAACATTCATGATAATCTCAAGCTTTCAAGGACATTAATAAAGAAAAGAATGTGTGTGTGTATATATATATATATATGTGGCGGAATCCAGAGCGAAGCAAAGTTTAGCGAAGAGACAGCGCGCTGAGGACTCCGGACCCCACGGAAAGCTAGGTGCTCCCGGGCCACCGCACTGGGCCTGGTCACTTCCTGCGCGGGCCGGCTCAGGGCAGTCGCCGACTGCTCGCTCACAGCACTGGGAGTGTGCAGAGTGTGTACACGGGGCGGAAAGGGGGAGGAGGAAGGTTGGAGTCGCCGGGCCTCCCCCTCCCTCCCGACCGCTGCCCACACCCGGGGAAGAAGGGAGCCAGATCGCTCTCTCAGAATGGGCCTCGCCAGCCTCTTCCGGGCTCGCAAGATCCGATAGTTCGCTACCCTCACATCTCCGCCCAGTTGTGTCGGGCTTTCAATAAGACAAGGAGAAAAACGCCAAACTCGAGGAAATCTTGCCCGCGGCCCACTTCCAAGCTCTTCAACACATCTGTGGCGACCGCCCACCCTTCACCCCATTGTTCCCCTTTCGGAATTCCTCCCGACCCCCAGCCCGCCGCCCCTCCCCCACCACAGCGGACGGGGGGGGTGGGGGGACCAAAAAGCAGGCCCCGAGGCCACCCCGAGCTTAGAGACCCGCCCGCCCCACCCGGGCCTGGTCTCCTTTCTCAGGCCCTTACTCACCCATCAAAATGCGCATCTGCTTCTTGCCGAAGAGGCGGGAGAAGAGGGAGGAGATGGTGAGGCCCATGGCGGTAGTGGCACTTGCAATGGGCACGAGCAAAAGGTCCCCGGGCCTTCTCCTTTTACGCTCCCAGAAAACTCAGCGAGGAAAGAGCTGCTGAGAAAGAAAGACGGCTGCGGGGACGGTTCGCTAGCCGGCCTGTCCGAAGAAGCTCCGGGACAGTGGGGTGAGGACCTGCTCCACGACTGGCGGGGCAGCTCCGGCTCCGGCGTTAAATCTTCGGCTGTGCCACGTCACGAGGCAGCCGCGGCGACTACGGCAGCGGCCCGGCCCCTCCAACGCGGACAGATTCGCGTCACCGCCGCCCCATCCCCCTGAGCTTCCGGCGCTTCGCGAACCACTGCGCCTGCGCAGGAGACAGATTGGCCATCTTCGCTGACGTGCGCCTCTGGCCGGCGTAGCCCCCCGGACGTGGCTGGGCGAGGCCAGTTAGCCTCCATGTACTGGACGACGGACACAGTCCCACAATGCCTTGCTTCGTCAGGTCCAATCGGACTCAAGGAGAGACGTTTCGGCCCAGAGAAATGCATCCTGGTGGTTGTATTCCTTCCTTCCGTAAAGGCGGGCTGTGCAGTATGGGTTAGGTAGTGAACCTCGTTCTTCAGTGCGTTGCGTGTCCGCTTCCACGCAACGTGCGTTGGAGATTTCCTGGTCTCCGAAGGTACACGTTTCACCCGGCGAACCAGACACTTGGCCTAATGGAGGCGTGAAGACAAACCTTGCTTTCTCAGGAGATAAGTTGTTCAAAACTCAGTGCGCAGAGAACGAGGCTGTAGCAACCCGTTATGAAGCGAGGCCTAAACGCTTCGAACCCGCCAACGCCAGGTCAGGTCATAGTAAAGATCCCTAATCGTCTGTCAAGACAAAGAGCTCCAAGACATTTACATCCTCTATTGCAGCTCTTTAAGAGAAGCCAACGGGGAAGGCTTATTTTTCTTCTCTTCTCTCCAAAAAGGAGCATGGAAGATTTATTCCCGATATTGAAGTGGAAAGCCTCATTTCAAAAATATGATCTTAATGTTTTCCAGTCTACAAAATAAAGTATATATCTTGTTACAAATATAAAGTTCCCCACAATCTTCTCCCACCTCCCATGTATTTACGCCATACCACTGGTGCAATTTAGGATTAGCGGCACGCCCCCCTCCCCTCGACGCTTATGCTGGCTAAAACGTGCTCACCCACCTTTCAGATCTGTTTAACTCCCTTGGAAAATACATTCTTGACCTCCTGACTAGACAAATGCCTCAAACCATCCGCTGTTCATAGTTATGATTTCACATTTGATATTACTATTGATAACCCTCTTCCCCTCTCCCGCTTGTGTAAAAACTCTATAGAGAACTGGACCCTAGTCTGTTTTTCTATTACTTTGTAATTACTCAAATATAGTTGAATGACTGAGGGACAGCCGAATAAATTATGGTATATCCATACTATTTCTGAGAATACTCTCCGGATTTAGAATGATGTACAACTATAAATTCTAATGAAAAGGTCTCCAAAGTACAGTTACTGTAAAACGCCAAATAATTCCTAAGTACAGTAAAGTGACATCTGCTCTGCTGCTCAGGCAATGTGTGACTCTCTGAGGCCCCATGCACTGTAACCTGCTAGTTTCCTCCGTCCATGGAATTTTCCAGGCAAGGATACTGGAGTGGGTTGCCATTCCCTACTCCAGGGGATCCTCTCCATCCAGGGATGAAACCAGAGTCTTGCATCTCCTGCATTGGCAGGTGGATCCTTTACCACTAGCACCACCTGGGAAGCCCCACAGTAAAGTAACATAAAAATGTGTGTGTGTGTGTGTGTGTGTAAATGCAGAACAATAACTTTGAAAAAGAATCTGCAGTGATGACATTTAGTGGTTACCTGTCTAACTAGTGGTTACAGTGGTTACAGTTAGTAACCACTATTTAGCGGTTACCTGTGGAGGGGGGAGGGCACCTTCCTAGAGAGTGAGGGAACCAACTTTGGGAGTGAGAATTAAAAAACAGTTTTATCTATACTTTAAAAATTCACTTTATTGAGATATAATTTACATGCAACACAATTCTAAGTGTACAGTTCTGTGAATTTTAACAAGTGCATACAGTACTGTAGCCAACACCATAATCATGATATTAATTGTTTACATTACCCCCCCAAAGTTCTCATGCTCATTTGTAGTCATCCTCTTCCCTCACTTCAAGCCACTGGCCAAACACTGATGCTGTCATAACAGATTGCCCTTTCCAAAATTTCATGTAAATTTTACAAAGTAATACAGAACGGTCAGACTCTTGTGTATGAACTCTTTCTCCTAGCATAATAATTTTGAGATTAATCCATGTTACAGCCTGTACCAATACTTTGTTCTTTTTAACTGCCAAGTAATATTCCATTGTGGATATACTACAGTTTCTTTATCCATTCATCAGTTGATAGCCCATTTGGGTTGTTTTGAAGTTTTGGACTTTCATGAACATTTGAATACAAGTATCTGTGAATCTGTATTAATTTTAATTTATTTTTACAAGATGAATTTATTCATGCACCATTTAGATAATTTTTTTAAAAAACTTGAATTTGATGAATAAGTTCATCATTGCTTAAAATTTATTCTTCCAGATTTTACTCTATGAAATACTAACTTTTCTATATAAATGTTAATGGGATTTTACACTGCTAAGCAACTTCTTTTTCTATTTAATAATATACTGTGACCATTTAAAAATATCAGTACAGATTTAACTCATTCTTTTTAAGGGTTGCTTTCATTGTATGCATGTAAGATAACTTATTTAACTAACCTACCAAATTGTAAAACTTCCAATAATTTATGTTACCAAAATTTTCCTCAAGTTTCCAAATGATACTCGTAAGATATTCATTATTCATTATAGCATTATAATGGAGAAAACTGGAAACATCAACTTTTTTAAAAGAAGTATTTTTTTGGCACATGGTTTGTGGGATCTTAATTCCCCAACCAGGGATTAAACCCACACCCTGAGTGCAGAGTCCTAAGCACTGGACTGCCAGGGACTTCCCAAAAGAAATACTTAAATGCCCCTTTCTTTCTTTTCCTCTGGTCACAAGTCCAGCTATTCTGATTTTTCTATTGCAGCTTTAGCTGCAATTTTACAAATTTACAACAATGATAAATTAATATTTATTAGACATATTACCAGGATATTTAATTTCTTTTCCTAAGTGTGCTGTCCTAGGTGGTTCTGTAGTTGTTTATTCCAGGTGGTGCATTCTGCAGGATGGGGCTGAATAAGAAACACCTGCAAAAAAAGAGAAACACCTGCAAAGTTTCACAACAAGTAGGCTTTATGTTGTTGAAGACCTACTGAGTAAAACTCCATTTGGTAGAACTACCCTTTAAAAACTAATATTTTGGGAGTGACTCTGGGCAATCAAAACCAAAAACTTCCTTATTCCGGTGGATATGGTAAAGCCACTTCATAGATTACAGTGGGTTTATTTGGTTCCTCCTGTTTAAATTCTCATATGTTCCAATAATAAATTCCTAAGCAAGGTGAAAATAAATGTGATTATATATACATTTGAAGAAAACAAGGGAAATGCAAAGGGGAAACAACTGATTTAATATAATCAGATTTTTTAACTCTTTAAAAGCAATTTAATAGACATGCTTATTAATTTGAGTGTGCAACAAAATACTATTTAATTTTTTAATAACTGAAAGTCTACGCAATTACCTAAGAGATCCACATATTTGCCTAGAATTTAACTTAAAAGGAATTATAGACTGTCTTCAAGACGAAAACTTCCTCTTCACTGGAAAGACATGTAAAGAATTGCTTAGCAGTTGAAGAAATAAAAATTGCATTTTGGAAGCTTGCTAGATTTAAAAAAAAAATTGTATCCTTTAAGTAGTTTTTATGAGCTTCCCTTGTGGCTCAGCTGGTAAAGAATCTGCAGGAGACCTGGGTTCAATCCCTGGGTCAGTAAGATCCCTGGAGGACAAAATGGCAACCCACTCCAGTATTCTTGCCTGGGAAATCCCATGCACAAAGGAGCCTGGCAGGTCCATGGGGTTGCAAAGAGCTGGACAGCACCCAGTGACTAAGCATGCCTGTCTGCTTTAAGGTTTATAGAGAATTCCTTAAAACAGTGTTCACCTGGAACTCCCCTGGCAGTCCAGTGTTAAGACTTCACCTTCCAATGCAGGTGCTGCAGGTTTGAGTCCTGAACAGGAAGCTAAGATCCCATATGTCTTGTTATCAAAAAACAAAAACATAAAAAACAGAAGCAATATTGTAATAAATAAAGATTTTAAAAATTTATATATATATATAATTAAACAATGTTCACCTGATTCCACCAGTCTTCTCAAATTGATTTTCTAAACTTCTCAAGACAAATGAAATGGGTCTCCTTCCTCATAACTTCTTCCAAAATGTAATCCACATTTTGGTTAGTTAAGCAAGACAGCTGAAGAGAATTCTGATTTCCATCACTAGCCTCTAAAACATTAACCAGAACATCAAATGAAGATGTCAGAGTAGATTTTTCAGATTTCCACTTAAGATTTGCTAAACATCAAGAAGCTAATGGAAATTACAAAACAAGATGTTAAATGGTCCACTGAAATGTCTCCATCGTAAAGATAAGGATAATCAGGGTCAGAGAAGTTAAGTAACCTGCCCAAGGTATCACAGCTAATAACTGGGACAAGAAACCATTTCTTCTCATGTCAACACCTTATTTTTAAAAGTGAAGAAGTTGAGCCTCAGAGTAAAAAATTGCTGTCATTTACTGATCACTTACCATGTACCAAGTGCTATATACTTCATTTAAAATCCTAACAACTTTGAGGATTGTATTATAAGGTTACTCCAACTCTAAAGCTTATGCTTATGCTTTTAAACAGCATACTACACTAAGTATTGCTTTCCTCATCTTTGTTTTTTTTTTAGAATGAGAGCTTTCTGGTCTCACATGTGTTTATTTATGTTCTAGTCTGTTAGATTTAATAATGTAATTATTTTTGCTGATTATTTATGTCCCACTAGAATGGGAAACCATTTCACCTCCTCTGAAATTTTCAAAGAGTATGTTTTCTATAAATAGTGCTAATATTCTCTCATTTCTGGTTATCGCGGTGTAGGGAACCATGAGCAGCAAAGTCTCCCATGACACCCTCTACGAGATGGTGCGGGAAGTCCTGCACCAGAACCAGCACAAGTGCAGGAAGTTTTTGGAGACTGTGGAGCTTCAGGTCAGTCTGAAGAACTATGACCCTCAGAAGGACAAACGCTTCTCGGGCATCATCAGGCTTAAGTCCACTCCCTGCCCCAAGTTCTCCGTGTGTGTCTTGGGGGACCAGCAGCATTGTCAGCATTGTGATGAGGCCAAGGCTGTGGATATCCCCCACATGGACATTGAGGTGCTGAAGAAACTCAACAAGAATAAGAAACTGGTCAAGAAGCTGGCCAAGAAATACGAAGCCTTTTTGGCTTCAGAGTCTCTGATCAAGCAGATCCCCCAAATCCTGGGCCCAGGCCTGAACAAGGCTGACAAGCTCCCTTCCTTGCTGACCCACAATGAGAACATGGTGGCCAAAACTGATGAAGTGAAGTCCACGATCAAGTTCCAGATGAAGAAGGTGCTGTGTCTGGCAGTGGCTGTTGGCCACGTGAAGATGACAGATGATGAGCTTGTGTATACAACATCCACTTAGCTGTCAACTTCCTGGTGTCACTGCTCAAGAAAAATTGGCAGAACATCAGGGCCTTGTACATTAAGAGCACCATGGGCAAGCCCCAGCGTCTGTACTAAGGCATAGCTTAATAAACCATACTAAACCATCCAAAAAAAAAAAAATAGTGCTAATATTCTAATATTTAATTGCAACAGTGAATGTTACTGAGCACTTACTATAGCTAAGCATTGTAACATGCATTATCCCATTTAATCCTCTCAACAATTTAATCCATGTCACTCATTTTGTTCAACAATGACTCAGCTCTAAAAAAAAAAAAAACTCAGCTCTGCTTCTAGTACACCTGTTAGTCGTACAATAATATAATTTTTTGCCTTCATTTCTCAACCTCTATAAACTCCATTTTTATCTCATTCTCTGATTATAATCCATTACTTGTTAAAAGTTTGTGTCCTCTGAATATTGTCATTTGTCTGCAATAGTGGAAGAATATCCATGCTTCTACGAAGAATCGAGTCCATCACCTACTTTCTTTTCCAAAAGGGGCACAGTATGTGAATTCCCAGAATCTTTGGATAGTTTGGCCAAACACATCACCTCAGCACCTTTTAGACTGTTAAATCTTCTTTAAAAAAATTTTTTTAAAAAATTACACCAATAAGAGGTGGGAGGAGCCGCTGATTAGAAGAAACAACACCATCATACCAACGAGGAAGCAGGGGGGTTTGGTTTTTTTTTCTTTTAAATTTTATTTATTTATGATTTGGCCGCACTGGGTCTTAGTTGTGGCACATGGGATCTAGTTCCCTGACCAGGGATTGAACCCTGGCCCCCTTCATTGGGAGCTTGGAGTCTTAGCCACTGGACCACCAGGGAAGTCCCTTGTTTGTTTTTTAATTTTGGTAGACACTGCTGACTTGGAAGAATATAGAGTCCGCTTGACTTTATTTAGTCAACATTCACCTACTTCTCCAATTTAAAACAATTCTCCTGCTTTATTTGCTTCTTAAAAGGAAGTGCAGTCGCTCAGTGGTGTCTGACTCTTTGCAACCCCTGGGCTGTAGCCACCAGGCTCCTCTGTTCATGGAGATTCTCCAGGCAAGAATACTGGAGTGAGTTGCCATTTTCTTCTCCAGGAAATCTTTCTAAGCAGCGGTCGAACCCAGGTCTCCCACATTGCAGACAGATTCTTTACCAACCAAGCCAAGGGAAGCCCCTGCTTCTTAGAGGTGATATCCATTGTATACATAAGTCAAATTCATTTAAGGTTTCTTACTGGAAACTTTAAAAACAGGGAAAGCCAAGGACTTGACTAGCTTCCTTCGAAGTTTATTGCAGTCACATTCCTGACTTCCAGAAGAACTAATACTCTGGTTTTCTAGAAACTTTAAAGCTGAGTGATTTTATGGCAGGACTGTATCTTGAGACTGTTGCGGGAAGGAAGACCCCTTGCAGGACCCAATAAAGGTCCCCTCTCAGGCCCTTGAAATGGTCCCCCTTCCTACAAGACCACTAATTCTACTAAGATTTGTATTTACCATCTAACATTTATAAAAGTTTCACTCAGTTGTGTCTCACTCTTTGCAAGCCCATGGACTGAAGCCCACCAACCAGGCTTCTCTGTCCATGGAATTCTCCAGGCAGGGATACTGGAGTGGTTAGCTGTTCTCTTCTCCAGGGGATTTTCCTGACCCAAGGATGAAACTCTGATCTCATGCATGGCAGGCAGACTCTTTACCGCCTGAGCCCTCAGGGAAGCCCAAAGCAGCAGCAAAAGGGTCATAGTGAAACCCTTTCTGTACTCACAGAACCCACATTCCACTGCAACAAACTTAAGACTGAAGAGCAGTTTCAACTCCTCCCAGAAATGTGACCTTTAAAACAACCAACCTAAACTGTACTCATCAACAATAGCGAGGTAATCTGCATGATAAAGACCCCTGCCAGTCCTTTTCTTCCCCAAAAGAAGGTGGCCTAAAACTATCCTTTCTTTTCTTTTGCTAATACCTTCTTGGCTCACCTTCCTTCTGCCTATAAAAACCTTCCATTTTGTACAGCCCTTCAGACTGTCCTTCTATTTACCAGTTGGGATGCTGCCAGACTCAAGTCATGAAATTGTCAATTAGATCTTTTACAAAGCTCACTGAATTTGTTTTTTTTTTAACAGATTGGTGGCAAGACTGGATCCGAAGTGAACTTCCAAAGACAATAAGAAGCAGAGGTCAGCCCTGCAACTCTTGAGTTTGTGGTCTTTCTTGCCCTTTCCAGTGACCATCAGTCAGTTCCTCTCCATTGAGCTGCACTCTTTTTTTGCGTTCCTACTCCAGATCTCATTAGCTTTTCTTTACAGAACAGGTCAAGCTGGTAGAGGCTTCTGCCGTAGGCCAACCAATAGTGTGGCCTTTCAGACCAAATTTCCCCAGGAAAACCCCAGCCCATAGATCCTTCCCCCAACTCAACATTGGGGACTTCTGATGGCAGCTGAGTTTTCCAGTTATTTGGAATCAATTCATAGCCCCCATTCCTTGAGGTCTGTTCATTCGTTGCTTTCCCCAATCCACACTTCCAAGGGAATTTTTGCTGGTTACTGGCCAGAGTCAGATTCGGTCCAGTGGAAGGCCTCAAGTAGCTGTTAAATAAAGGCTGGTTGCCAGTGGGAGTCTTGGAAGTACTCAAGCTGATTAGTTGGACTCTGAAAAACCCAAACATGGGGCTAAATGAAATGTGGTCCTTTATAGCCAAAGAAAAGACCCTGATGCTGGGAAAGATTGAGGGCAGGAGGAGAAAGGGACGACAGAGGATGAGATGGTTGGATGGCATCACCGACTCAATGGACATGGGTTTGAGTAAACTCCTGGAGTTGGTGATGGACAGGGAGGCCTGGCATGCTGCGGTTCATGGCGTCGCAAGGAGTCGGACACGACTGAGCAACTGAACGGAGCGATGGTCAAAGAGTTGAATGAGCCACCTTCCAGGATACTTGCTTATTTTATATTTAAGAACTAGGCTCCTGGAAGGTGCAGATATTTATCAAAGTTTTACTAAAAATAACCTATAATTGCAATGACCATTATGAGGAATGTTCCAAATACACAGAATCATTTTAAAAGTACACGGAGCGACTCAGTAACTCTCTCGCCCTGAGTCTGCCCCTGTGCCTATCCACACATATATTATTCTTTTTCCTCTTAATAAACACTTGCTTCACACATACACAAAAGAAGATAAAACACTGAAAAGTATGCATTCCCATATCAAATAAACAGAATGGAATACGTATTTTAATTAGTATGAAGAAGATTCCAAAAGATTTAGAAATTCCAAAATAGCCTCATTGAAATATTTGTTGCAAAAGGCTAGCGTGAAATTAAACACCAAAGGTATCTAAAAACAACACCTAGGCCACACCCATTATAACCTCAGAGGGCTTCATCATCAAAACATTGGCCCCCAAATTTTCAATTGTAATCAACTATAACACTGGGAAAATTGTCCTCAAAAGCCCTATGTAAATTCTTTAGGATCAATTTAAAAGGCCCCATATGGGTCCCTTTCAGAACTAATGAAACTCTTATTAAAAAACTTCTGGCAAACTGGTATGTATTTTCTCAAACAGCTGAGGGGAAACAAAATGGATGAGATTATTCAATACTACCAGAAATACTTGTCCTTGATGAAGCCTGACAATATACTTGAAAGGACTTGATAACTTTAGGATTAAAAATTTGGCCAAATGGGAGAAGCTGATGTTCGGGACCTGCTAGGCATTTTATTTGGCCTTCTTTTCTAAGGTAACTGTACCCAAAGGGAAAAAGCCATTCCAACTATAGGTGAATGGGTGTGTCAGTCCTTTCTGGTAATCCTAAAACCTCCCCTAACTCATCTTAAAATGCTTGTAGACATTGTGACATTGTCCTACAGATAGGCCCAAACTCCATCTTGTAGGATACTTAGATACTTTGTGTCTTTGTGATATAGATTTTAGGTCCCATTTTTCCTTAGGACCTAAAAACCATACTTCGTGATGCAAATGTCAGGGAGGTTAATTCTCATCATAAGGGAGAAAGGTCATTTTACAAAAATCTTGTAAGTGACTTTTACACAAAAACTATGAGGTCTCTGTGACCATGGGTATTTATGTTTATACATGTCATAAATGTGTGACATTCTCTACATCTGGATGGTATTATCAAAATTAATTTGTAAAGTGCTCTATTTGACTATTTGATTGGCTTAAAAATAAGTGTGTGTACATGTATGTATACATCAGTTAGTCAATCAGTTCAGTTGCTCAGTCGTGTCTGACTCTTTGCGACCCCATGAATCGCAGCATGCCAGGCTTCCCTGTCCATCACCAACTCCCGGAGTTTACTCATACTCATGCGCATCGAGTCGGTGATGCCATCCAGCCATCT